TGTTAACCGTTAATTTTGAACACGAAATATTAGGACCAAGTCGACCTCAGATCTGTGCAGTATACCGAAATCTAAAGCTAAATTGCTGCGCCATATGACAAATGTTGATTATAAATCTCAGTAAATTGACTTCGAAAGCCCGTAACATATTGTCGAATATATAAATCCCACAAAGAAGGACGGAATTGAGTAATTTCTGAGCGATATTTCATCAGGTCATTCGTCATGCCAATCAGAAGCTAATTTTTTGGCGAGTTTGTTGACAGATCCTTAAAAGAAGGCAACAGTCCCGATAATTCAGTCCCCATATCTTAGCATCGATGATAATAACGTTATGCGAATTCAGTTCATACGCTAATCCATCGGATTCTTGAAGTCCCTACCCTTTCCTGAGAGTAGTAATGCACATGTACTTTGAGCCAGTTGCATAACATAGGTCATTAACAAGAGTCCTCTACCCTCTGTACCTGACTACTTGCAAACTTCCATTTCAATGATTTATGACTACCTGGTCCAGCACCTTGGTAAATATCTTCGGAAGACTACTGAGGTATAGTAGATGAACAAAGCCTACTAAGACTAAGTGAACCACCCGATAAAAGGTCTTGTTGTTCAGTGGAGTACAGTAAAGGCTCAAGGGGTATGCACACTCAAAAGCTTCTTAATATATGCTCATACAGGGAAGAAATTCCATGGGTTTCGTTCAGCCATCCGGTAGAAAATGCAATGCAAACGCTCCTTGAATACGACATGCTTTTTCCTCTCTAACCGGAAAGTACCAGTTTCGTGAATTATCTGCTTGGGAAACCTGATCTCCCCAGACGGTTAATTAAATTCAACCATTACTTACATGTTAATGTTAATATGTATTTCTTCCTGTTTATGCAGGAACATACCAGTTGTATAGGCATGGATAAGTTATTATATAAATTACACATAATTTGATACGTGATGAATTTACAATTTGGTTGTTCTTTCTGACACAAGAGTTAGTCGGAACAGTCTGCTATAAAGTCTGTTTGTGTAACACATAAGGAGATATAGAAATATTGTCTTCGCAAAACCCAGACATCAGATGAATGTAATACAAATATCAGGAAAAAAGCTTGAAGTCAATTCTCCTACATAATAAATCTCTTTGTGGTAAGTCCAGCTGTCTCGAACTGCTGTCAAGGCTTCAGTTGCTACTTCTGTAGCAGCATCTTCCTCACTCGTTCAGATAAACAAGACTTGTTGATCTACCACGTGGTTGCTGTGAAGCCGATCATCCAGAAAGTACTAGGTAACGTTTTGTACCTTATCAGTCCTATTCTTGTTCTTTTGCGTAGATACTGTTGCTTTCTTATTCGTTTATAGCACAAGTCATACTGATTGCTAATATGAATGTCGAAAGTAGCCTTAGAAAAGCCACTAAAACACCGTACTCAATAGTTACAAGGGCTTTAGCCACAGAGGGCAGAAACTCAGGGACTTCAACCCCTTCCCGCATACCAGTCCTAAAGACTCGTGTAGCTTTCATCTGTCCTGATACTACGCCTGCATTACCACAGTCTAGTACTGAAACCGCACAGGCAATACCAGGGGGACAGGATACTACACCTGCATCAAGTGAAGGCCAGTGTGTGAAACACAGCAAGCTTAAAAGGAAACGTTCAAGACGTCATAAGACCTCGAAGGCGTCATCAAGGAAGGGAGACGAATGTCAGGCGTTTAATATCATAGTTTCTAAAACTGACTCAGCGTTTGAATGCGATTTTCGTAAACGATGGGTGCGCTGCCGTTGTGACAAAGAGGTATCGAAAGCATACTAGGTGTTTATGAGAAATACCCCATGCCCATGGTTTTGGTACATTTGTCCACTTTGTCACCCTGGCATAGTCCCACAAAGCGTGTCTGGGATAGCAGAAACAACACGCTCTTGTGTCCCAGCACAGTCTCATGCAGCTCCCCCTGCTAACATCACGCTGCCAAAACTTGGCAAAGACATTAAGAAGGACACACCAGTCCAAATGGCTGGAAATGCCAATTTTCACTAGCTGAAGATTCACAAGGTTGCGCCCACATCAGGGGAAGACGGATTTACGAAGGCACCACTTGCATCCACTAGCAAGCTTGGTAACACAAAAAAGGCTGGCCAGATCCTGATGAAGCCTAATGTTGCTGATGATGCAAAGGAATACAAGAAGCCGAAGGCCAAACCTAGGTCTGAGGTTAGTCGGTCTAACTCTCTCATCCTCTTTAACGTACCTGTGAGCAGGGATAGCTTGCTCGAACAACAGGCCCTGTTTGATCAGGAACAGTGGTCCAACCTGTGCAACAAACTAGGTCTGAACATTAGTTCAGCAAAATTGTGCAGACTGTACAGGGGTGTCCACACGACTCAGGGTAAGCTACCCCCATTAAGGGTTACACTGGACTCTGTCGAAGAGGCCGAAAGAGTACTATTAATGGCTTAGGTACTAGCCACGGACAGAAGTTCGAACATAAGGGTGAGACAAGACAGACCATGGGCTATCAGACAAATGGCGGGGGTCACCGGAACTGATGCCTTCCGTCTCTATTGTAGTACACAATGTTCCGGAACTGGAAACAGGCACTGCTTGTGAAAAACACATGCACGACGTGCAGCAACGGAGATGGCTGTCATCTCAGATGGCCCTTGGCGCTTCCGGAGCCATCTCCATTTTTCGGCTACCTCGCCCCGCTCATCTCACACTTATTAGCTCTCCAAAGTTGCTAAGTGTCACATCCAACTCCCCGGAGCAGTTGTCCATAGCACTTCAACGGTTGTATCAAACCAAGGGAGAACTGGAGGACACACCTGATGCTGCGAAAGCAGACCCCGAGCTACAAGGAAGCAGCAAACTGTGGCTTTGATACATCCCTAATGACCAATGCGGTCATAGACACATAGACAGATAGGTGCAGTCACATCTGAGCTAATTATAAGGATGTACAAAACATATGTCAGACCACACCTTGAGGTACATAATATAATTGAACCTTCAATGCTTAGAAGAGACGCCAACTTCTTGGAAACAAAAAGAATGGTAGGTCTCCGAAATAAAGCACGAGTCAATGTAGTAAAAGACTGAACGATCAACTCATGGTTGTTTGCTCAAACCCAAGTCCTCCATATATTTCGCCAGTCATCAATCTGCCAGTCATTGTCTCATCGGTCGACGTTCAAAAAGAAGATAGAAAAAACTGTCAGAAGTCGTATCGTGATTTATTGTTGTAATATTTGTTCTTAGACCTTGGTCTGTAATGTCAGTAATGCTGGTTGTATGTTGGTGTTAGAATAAAGAATTCTCGAGTCGTCAATCTGTGTTCTGGTTTTTGCGTCCGTTAATACTAAGCGTTTCTTAAAATCTTCGATGGACAACGTGAGGGCCAGCGTAGCAAGAGCTGGGCATTAACGGTTTATGAGACGTGATTGACACCAAATGAGGGAATCCTGAATATATTAGGCATTTTCACACTTACTTACCGACGTCTTAGGTGGGATTTAATTACCGTCTACAGAATAAAAAATGACGAGAATCACTCAAACAATGGTGTTCCGCCACTGGGTAGTTATGGGCTCCCACGTGGAAATCGCTGAAGTATAGTTCACCAGAATGCAAGGACCCGGGTGCGCTCCTACTTCTTATCACTGCGGGTTTGCCTTCCCTGGAATTCCTTACCGGCAGATTTAGCTATGGCACCGTCTTTGGACCCCTTTGAGCGAAGGCTTGGCAACCATGCAGCGACACAAGGACTGCATGTAAACGCCTCGTCCCGTTAAAATCGCATACACCATTCAGGGTTAAACAATTAAACTTATCGTTTTACTTCTTTACATTCTCTCCCGTCTTACTCTTTTGACAACTTTAACTACACTTATCATTATTATTATCATTATTATTATTGATATTTGTATTATTCATATTACTCTTCAAATTTAATCAGCTGACTGTTGTTACGTTTTCTTATTGCCTGTTCTCTCAGTTAGTCTGAATAACTTCACTAATTATACCTATTATTACCATTATTACCTATTGTCGACGATACCGGAGGACTAACTAGCGAAAGGATTAACTCCATTCACAGTAGTAAAAGTCTTAACACACCTCACACTACAAACCACATATGATTAATCCCAGCACTACTCCCTTTGGAATCAACCAAAGCTACGACAGTCGAGTGGCGGGACAAGCTACGCAGGAGTTTACCGAAGACCAGGAACCTATACCTTACAATGAAGAAGCGAGCATAAAGAAGTCAAATTGGTTTATACTAGCTTGTAAAACCTATATTGGATATCGGAACGAGAGACCGAAATGCAATTACCGACGGGACAAAGACAAGGTTTCTGGCTTGCTTTACTATTTCTGAAGACAGGGGAATGAATTAAGGATTAGTCTGTCACTCATCTGCAACTTTTCTATCATGTGATTTTGATTACAGCTTGATTTCACACTGTATTTTTGGTACAAGTATGGAATTTTCAGCATGGATATCGGTAGCTCGAATTTTGCAGGTCAACCATAGATATCAGGTGTGCGTCGGCGGGGGATTGAACCTCGGACCATGTGCATGATCGGTGAGAGTCCTAACCACTGTGCCACCGACGCCAGGACTGGAGATTAAATTTCAGTAAAAATCTCCCCGTCGCAAATTCACATTAGACTACATGAATTCAAATTCTACATCTCAGTTTATAGATGGAATGGATGAACAAAATAGAGGTGGAAGAATTTAATTTCTGCAACTAAGAGCAACTAGTGACTTAACAAACACCAATTTCGAATGAACAACTCTATCGTTAAACATAACTTGGATTACCGTGCACCCGTAGCCACTCTTGAAGAATTTATTCTTATGGCCTCATTTCGTTAAGTCAAACTGTATCGCATTAATAGTCCTATGAAATGCGAGCTAGTTTTGAAATTTGTAGGGACGCGCGCTCTAGTTGATTTCCTGTGCTCCTTAGCACCTCTCTTATATAGTCGTTACGAATGGAAAATCAGGCTCTGTCGGCAGAGTCCCAGACTGACCCTGATTCAACGTCTGTGAGGGTCGCCGTGAGGTATGAACTAATCAATTGCATCCCAATTTTAAAGGATTCGGCCTCAAAGCGCTAAAGAAAAAGCTGAAATGAACCACATTTGTACAACAGTTATTCCCAACAATGCACAAATTGTTATTGGGAAAGACGCTACTTTTACATATGATCACGTTTTTAATATAAACACACCTCAGGACTACGTTTTCCAAACTTTGGCCAGACCTTTAATTGATGGGTTTGTTACTGTATATTAACTAACCTCTTAGTTGTATGGATGGATATAACGCCACTATAATAGCATACGGTCAAGTAAGTTTTATTTTAGTCAACATCTGCTTAGACGGGCTCCGGAAAAACCTACACTATGGGTACGGGTTTTGATATTGGCTGCAGTCATGCAGACGCTGGGCTTATTCCTCGCGCTGTGCAGTACCTGTTTGCATGTATAACGAAACGTCGGGCTGAGGCAGCGACAAAGAAAGAACCTGTTCCTGAATTCAAGGTTGTTGCACAATTTTTAGAGGTATGCTTTGCCAAATATACCATATAGACCTTGTATTCACGAAACACGTTTTAAGCGTGCCGCAGTTACTATTATTTCTTCGTTAGTTAAACATAGCGTACATGTTAGCAGGACTATGCTCACAATTACCAGCTGATGTGTATCCATTCAGTACAAGGGATGTATTCTCGGAGTAGAACGTTTATTATCACTCTACTTCTTAGGTCTAGTAGATCTTATATCTCTTACAGTAGTTTCATTGAACAGTTGTATGCTTACAAACTTCTGATTAATAACCATCCATATTCTATGGTAATGGCCATAGCCGTAAATTAAACCTAACTCCCTTGAGAACTGTTGTAAGAATGACGATTGGAGTGACACTCAATTACTAGTGAAAGACCGAATTTAGAATTAAACTATGTGAACTTGAATTTAATGATGGTAGTGACAGCCCTCCACTGAGACAAGTGGGTTTGGACAACCTGGTAATGCCTCACGTATGGGGATTTCTCACCATCTGTATCTAAGTGCAGTAAGTTATTTGACAATGCTTCATCCGCATCATTCTCAGTGTTGATATCTGTGTCACTACCAAATGTTTGTTCGTGTAAGTGCGACACTTTTAAGCTGAGAGCTGAAAAATGGTGGTTATGTTTGTTTCCTATTTGCAATGCTACATTAAGACACATTGATTTTCGGAATATTTATCTAGGTACTTAGAAGCATGTGGAAGGCCATGGTTCATGTTTATTCACAGTCTGGCAGGATATATTTAAGAACATCCTACATGTCTTATGTTACCTTCAACCTACTTCGCTAATCGTTCACAGAACTCATTGTACTTGACGAGTTTTTAACTCCTATCAGTGAAGGCTACAACCATATTTCTTCGTCTAGTCTTGATTCGTTTCAAATTCATTTCAGTCTTTATTAGATTTAAATAGGAACATTCGACTTCCTATGTTTTTTAATTGATCTGACGAATCATCTGTTATCCTAAGTCATATTAGCACGTTTTACCAGTTCTATTGTTTAAGTGTAACACGCGGTTATCCACCCTTATTCTAAGATGTGAAAGTTCCGATTTTGGGAATTAAATTTCAAATGGAACTCTTCATTATTATCTTTGAAGTGTTCTTTAGCGAATTATTCCCAGACATAATAGAATATCACTAAGCAATATTGTCACTTGTCAAACCCATCGTATTTAAACCAAATAGCTGTTATCAAAATTTTACCAAATACGTTTGGTAGTTCATATGGGTTTGACCCTTTTAATTACTTCTAGGTACACTTCTGTTCTGTGTAACATCATTTAAAATATTTTTGCACAATATAATTCTGTTATTTCTTTATCTAAAGGGAGTTTTTCTTTTTATAGCTTTACAATGAAGAGTTGGTTGACTTACTTGATTCTGAAAGGGTAAGTTCGTACTACTGGCTACAGTTGTAAGTGTAATGAGTAGTGAGCTGATCAAACTATCGTAGGTGAATGTTATGCCGCAAACCAAATTTACAAAACTCTGCGATCGCACTTTTTCCTTTCCAAATTCTACCTTTTGCATAAGTCTTACCGTCACCTATTGATGATTTACTCTTGGAGGAGTAAGCCCTACGCCGTACTTGTATTTCACCCTCGGCATATACTTTGTGGGTGTTTGTTCTGTTTATAAAACAGTTCACTATTGAACTTGGGTTTTCCGACCAATTTCTTCAGGTATCACTCCTATTCATTGTCTTGATATCAGGAGGGAATCTGTTGGAAAGTTCTTTATGCTTGGTATGGAGGTTGAATGTATAGGCGTGTTGTAAGCCTATGGGTTGAATGACTTTCCTAACCAATTTAAAATCTTTACTAGGGTTTTTATAGTTACACCATTTTATTGAGCTAGAACATAGTAAATAACGTGTATGGCACGCCGCATTACTAATTGAACCAAAGCTGCTATTGCTCTTAGATCTGTCATTGCATTCAAAAGGTATTCAGCGCTTCGATGTGTAACGATTATTTCCACAGTGTAATTCTACTTCGATTCAAAGGGAGGCATTCTTTCATGAACATATGGTGAATTCGGGTGTTGTTTGTAGGTTATCAGGTAATTAGTAATCCATCGATATAAACATATCAAGGTTGACGACTCTTTCTCAGTGATTTCTGCATCCTGAGTCAAGCAATACAAAGCAAAGCTAATATTAATTGCGACAGCTAATCAGTATAATAATATCAACCGAATGTCACCTTTATGTTAGTTACAACTAGAAATTAAACTGTTACCTGCCAATTATTCTTGTGTGAATGTTCAACACGCAAACCTCACCTTTTGTGTTCGTTACTCTTCCCCCGCATATATCTATAAAAATGACTAGAATTAGACCTTTTGTTTCACATGTTAACGCTGTTCGGTATGTCTCTGTCACTGTTTGTATCTATTACTGTTGTACTAATTTAGTGTTTGTATCAGAAACAAAATTCAGAGACAACTTGTAAGGAACAAAACTAATCCTTACAAACCAAACTATAGAAAACAAATTATTTGTGTTTGAGCCATAATGACTCGGACTGTGTCATCAGTATTGAGTGAGGTTTTAGAATTCTATAGGCAAATTGAATTCTACAACTAATGTAGCCCATTCACCCAGTAGTGTTTTTATTTACTGAACTGAGACTAAGTTTCTGTTGGCTTCTAATACAACTCGCGCTCTTTGTAATTAAAAGTCAGTAAATGATGACGTCACGTGAGTTAAGTGCAATGAAAACGGAACAGTATCAGTATTTGAAATACTGGAGCTTTGATGTTAGGTGGTGAGAAGCAACAGTCCATATTGTTTTATATATGGAGTATGCGAAACAGTGATATAAGAATAAAACTTGTGCACTGTGGTAGAGTGTAATTCCATTATGGACGAGGCTACCCATTGAGAAAATTATTTTAGGAATTCATTTATGCCTCACATCTACTATCTTTAAATTCCAAGGCAAAATATATAGACAAACTGAAGGTGTAGCAATGGGATCACCAATATCCCCTATCGTAGCAGACATTTATAGACAGCTGGGAAAATATGGCTCGTAATACGTTTAATCCTACTTCAAAAATATGGTGGAGATATGTAGATGACACTCTCACAGTGTTAAAAACAGAACATATCTCCAGCTTCTTGACACACATAAACTCACAAGTAGAGGAAATAAAATTCACATTCGAGTCGGAAAATGAACAAGGAGAATTAGCTATGTTAGATTGTAAAATAAAACGAATAGAAGAAGGTAAACTGCACACTAGTGTGTACAGAAAACCACCGCATTCTAATAGATACTTAGACTTTAATTCACCTCATCCGTTGACTGTTAAGACAGGCTTAGTTAAGTGTTTAAAAAACCGAGCAATGGCACTAAGTAGCACAAAAAAGACTTAAATGATGAAATAAAACAGATAGAAGAGGCTTTGGTGTTAAATAACTATCCTTTAAAATTCATTAGGAAGATCGACAAAGGTCAGAGGGAAAATAAAAATAATTGTGAAACTAGTAATAATAACATAAATAAGAGAGAATATAAGTCATCTACTGTTAAATCATATAAGGAAGGGACATTTGAGGCTCTAGGTAGTATTCTTAATAAAGCAGGAATTAGGGTGGCATTTAAACCTACAAACTCACTCAGGGACAAGCTCTGTAGGTTGAAAGACCCAATTAGACAAAATAATATAATTTACAAAATGCCCTGCAATGACTGTAAGGTCAAACTAGTTGGTCAAGGGTAGTCAGATTGTCAAAAAATAAGAATTTAGCTAAGGTTAGAATGGTTGACCCTGACAAGATGAGTAATTTAGAAAAAAGCTCAACAATTGCACTGCATGCATTAACACGCAACCACACAATACGGTGGGATAGGGTTAAAATTCTGGAAAGTAATCTAGGTAGGTGGAGAGAGAGGTTGATTACTGAATCATTGTTCATCGAGTCCACACCAAACACATGCAATAGGAATGATTCTTCATTCATACCTGAAATATGGAAAATACTACTACCAATCAAATCAAGTAAAAAATAATGGAACTATATAAATGAAATTAGGAAGTCGTGTGAGTACCTTGATATGATTATGAGCAATAAATTGTTCTCGTAACGCCATCAGTAAACATTACTGTATAACACTGTGAGACTTTATCTAAACAAAGTTTACCCATAACGGATAGTGTTCAGCTACACGTTTTCGGAGATTACGCTTACGACGTCCGATATAATCAGCTCCACAAGAGCAGGTAGAAGAGTAGAGGCACATAGATGTGGACAAAAGCGGTAATCTACCCTTGACGCATTGTCTAATCATATTTCGACTGGTAAAAACTAATTGCAAGTCAGCACTGTTGAGATCAGATACTCATTTCAAATTGAAGTATGCTCTGACGATGCTGTCTGGTAAGTTGTTAAAGCCTTGCAACTAAACCATCCAGTTTAGGGATGCCAAAAGCAGCATTTCATTAGTGTGGTATCTTGCGCTTGCATGAGATTCTGTAGGAACTTGTGTGAAAATATTCAGGATAAAGTCTGTATAAACTGTAATTTTCTATTTATTCACTCATGTTCCATAACAATTTAGACATCTCGTTTCCTAAAACTTTGCGTTTTGTTATGTCATATAATCTTCCTGAACTGATGTAAACCTATAAGTGTTTGCTGTATATTGTCTGAATTCGTATCTGTTTGTTCGCTACCAGTCTTAACTACAACAGACAGTTATTGTGCTTAAGTATGCGTTTGCTGTAACTCGACAGATGTACTTTAACTTGAAGAGAAAGGCTATAAAAATACCTACCGAAATTTCATATTTTAATGAGGTATAATTTGTTATTGTTACAATAGTATCTTTGACCTTCAAGCCATAATTCCTGTTTTCCAGGTTCAGAAACCTCACTTACGTCTACATGAAAATGCACAAGGTGATATTTATTTGACTGGTGTATCTACAAGACTCGTATCAAGTTTAGATGACGTAAGTTACATTGATTGGTCACATTTCCCACCTTGTTTGTTGGTTGTATGAAGTTAATAGTCTTTGACTATTCCATACCGTAACTACCGACTTTGTCACCATATACGCCAGTCGCTGGTATCCTTCTGAATACCTCTTGAATTCAATTCATAATCTGTTGTTAACACGAAAGTATTTTGATTTCCAACCGTTGGTGTCGCCCTTAATTTCAGAACTTGTCCAAGAGACAGTTCAGGTTCGTTTAAAGTATCTGCAAAGGTCAGTTTATAGTGAATGGGATTACACTATGATTTCTCACTCCAGCCATTTAAAAAATGGTACTTAGTTAATGGCGTCTTTAGAAATCAGCAGTGGAAAATCATCACTGTGAAAAGGCTGAGATTTTATTCTTCTCGAGTTCTTAGATTCGGTGTTCTTTAGGATACCCTATGTTTCACTAGCATACTTGTCACTTATCCCATAAAACGTTCTCAATGAATTGTAGCCCTAATTTACTGCTCCCTTTTTCTAATATTCACTCAGTCACCCCCTTCTAAAACACACCACATTATGTAATACACCTGAAACAAAGTTACCAGTATTTGATTAGCCCTACAAATTCTTTGTTGAATATATAAATACTATTGTGCAACTCCCGAAATTTCTTCGCTGTGTACATCTTTTTCTTATGATTATAACTTCGTAAAATAATAAATCATGTTCTTACAGTTATGTTTAAATATTGAGGCTAGGGCTCTTTATGAGTTAGTTTCAGAGTTTCTAAAGCAGAGATGTGATTAGTCTATGTCAAGTGACATCTTTTAAGTTTTTAAAAAATAAGTGAAGTTTGTGACCACAGACGCCGATTAGTTATCCATTTATTTATCTTCCATAACAAATCAATTGGTACGATATACTACAGTGCTATACAGTTTTAATTATTGATGACTTTTTAAGCCCGATTCGTTGTTCCTAGTAGTCGGATTTATATATTCACATAACTTTCTCTTTACTGTTGTAATGCGATGGATTTTTCTTTTTTGCTGGTATCAGTATTCTCCATTTCTCCTACATAGGTAATGCTTCTTTCTTATCGCACGCGTTGATATTTATTTCGTTTTATTGATATCACTTTTCAGCTCTGCTACAAACTTTGATAGCTTAAATCGTTACAATATTGTACTAGTTTGCGTTTTGTTCCACTTAAACAGCTAGTCTAGTTTGACCTGGTCCATGCGTTCCTATATAAAGTCAGAGTAAACAGTAACAAGTTTTATAGGCTCAAGTCGAAAGTGACTAAAACGGACTTTAGAAAGTTCTGTAAAGCTAAGAATAAAGATTTAGTCGCTTCAAACCTTAGTTTTCGAAAAATAACCAGTTAAAATTTCTGTATACATAAAACGAGTCATCGCTAATCTTAGGTCTCACTGATAGGAAGATAAGCTTTACCTAATAACACGGCTTACCTTGTTTTATTTTCAGACTCTTAAGTGTCTTCATGACGGCACGTTGGTTAGAAGTACAGCCAGCACCAACATGAATGCTCAGTCTTCGCGTTCACATGCTATATTCACGCTTCACATCAGACAGCAAAAGTTGTTGAAGTATGAAGTGAGTTCCAATATGCTTATTATTAAATATGTGAATCTAAATGTACTACTAATAATACTAACTTCGGTAAACATTTCACACTTAAACAACAAAACAAGTTCTGCATTCTGACATGACCTGATCTTCAAGTGCGTATGATCAAACTAGAAACAGAAAATGTAATTCACATACTTTTGGGTAATAGAATGTCAGGCAACGTGTTGGGATGGTGCATGAAGTTTTTGGTTGTTTATATGTTGATGACTGTAGGAGATGGCGTATGTTGGCAAATGCCAAACGATCTCTCTGTATCGATGTTGAGATTTCGTCAGCAATCGACCCATCAGGACTTGACGCAGTTTCACAAATAAGTGAATCGGTCAACATGCTCTACCATTTCACTCCCTATATGTAAGCTAGGAGCCGATATAGTCCAGTACGGTAGTGAATCGCATGCCAAACATTCAAAGATTAGTGCTCAAGGTGTTCAGAAGACTGCATTATGTCAGCATCTTCACCTAAGAAGGACTATGTCATCTGCATATTTTAAGTCAACGAGACTATTATTCCTTGATGGCAAAAAGCCAATCCCTGAGTCGCTGAAGTCAGTTAGGGTCTTTGTAACTTCTCATACCTCATACACTTCTGTGGGACTCTTACATAATCCTATATTTTCCTTAGTTTTTATTTCAATTTTACGAATTTCTCTACAAATTTTATAGTGAGAATGTTCTTTTATTTTCATTTGTCGATGATTGGTATTCATTCTTATCCTCTTACTTATTATGAGAGAATTTCAAAATTTTCTCCGCCCAAAAATATTTTTCCTAAAATGAGATATATATATATATAATTTCAGAGATGATTCGTTGGCGCATTATTTTTGTATTTATTAAAGTATAATTAATCTCACATATTATTGCCAATTATAATACCATATTCTCATTCGTTTCATAGAACTCTATATTCAATTATTGCTAACTTAACATATATTTCTAGTGAGTTTAGGTAGCGAAATGTAGCTTTACTATTTTCCTTTGGTTGGCTGTTTACTACAGTAGGCAATGTGCTTGAGTTAGTAGCTTTATGTGGCTACTTTGTTGCAGTGAATTTTATCAAAGTAGTGGTGTTTATTAAGGAAGCTAATTGCATGAAGATAGCATCTATCATACTCAGCGAAGTACTTTCAAGTTATGTACAAAGCAGGTAAATATAATTTTATAGTGTGAATCCTTTTGCGGACCTCCCGGTGATTTTCATATTACAACACAGGCAGTGCTTGTATCATTTTTCAACGACTACCTTTTTATGGAACAAACAACAAAGATGACCGTCTTCTGACAGATTTTTTAAATCTTTTTCACCAAATGATTTGTTTTTATTAATTTTTATTGTCACACTAAGTCATATGGATTTGCCTTTCGCCGGAATAAGGTATATACCTATTGGCATAATAATTAACTTTTTATACAGAATTCTAATGAACAGAAAAAATCGGCTACCCAATCTGGTGTGGATGTAGACCCTGACTCAACTGTTGTCGACCAGGTGCCGGAATACGAAACATTGACTGCGAAGTTTCACTTCGTTGACCTTGCTGGTAGCGAACGTCTCAAAAGAACTGGTGCTACAGGAGACCGTGCAAAGGAGGGCATATCAATTAACCGTGGTTTAGTAAGTATAGTAATATTTCACGTGTGGTAGTATTTTCACTCATTGAGAGGTAAATTAAATCATTCGCTACCTTGATCTCTAATGGAATTGCACATTTTTCTTAGTTTTTACTGAAAAAAACAACAACATAGTGACGTAGTACGTTTATACCATGATGTTACGGATACAACTGATTATTCATAACTATATCAGGTTAATCAGAATTTCAGAAGTGGTTTTGTAGCAACTGTAAAACACCCCATCCTATTGCTTCTAGTGTTAATAAAATTTTCAGTGCATCAGATTATTTGATCTTATTGTCACATTCTTTAAATCAGTGTAGAAGAATACCAACACGAACATCTATTTGAGAAATCCTTTGGTGAAATGTCGACGTTCCTCAATTGAATGACAGCAAAAAGTTTTAAACTGTCTTTTAATTATGTCGCATTAGCTGTTGCCATTAATTCTCCATCCAAAAATGAAATATAACAATAATGAATTCTGCAGTGTTATTATTATAATTAATACCAGTAGTTTTTATCGAGAACATTTGAAGTCTTTATTATGGGTTGTCTCTCTTGATATGTATATACTTCAGATTCAGCTATTCGCAGCCTAACAAATATTGCGTAGGCTGGTTTCCCATCTAAAAATATGTATTAAATATGTTTTTTCCTTCGGGTTGGTTAATCAATCACGTATTATATAATGCCGTATGTGAAGCACTGCATGCATCGGTTGAATTTTGTATTTCGCGTGACTTTGATTATGACTTGCAGCTTATTTCTGTATACTGGGATGAGTCAGTGTACTACTACGGTGTATGTATTTCAGCACATCGCCTATCTGAATTAGTGTGAACTAAGTCAAAGATCAACTAACATTTAAAAATTACACTAAAGGAAATTTCTCTTCACTATAATGTTGTATTGACATGAGACTTAATTTGCATAATTATTTATTCCATTCTAAATGAATTTCACTTAAATAAATTAGTTGAATGAAATTCAGTCAATTCGATTCGTCAACTGTGCGTAAATAAATCAAGAGATTGTTAAGCTATCCATTTTCTCCATTTAACACCTCATTTTTTTTATTTTGCCTAAAGCATCTAAGTGCTTCCGAAGTTAGCCTTAATCGAATTCTCAGAGCTGGCGATGTTTAATGTGTATACATTCACTAAAATACTGATACTTTGGAAGATTAAGATAAGCATTTTTATGATAAATGTTAGCTCACTTAAATTTGATTTATCTTTCACTCGACGCTTTTTTGCTTTATTACATGATATGTGGTAGGATAAAATTTTTTAGCTGTAAAACTCAACACACCGTTGAGATTTCAGAAGAGCTTTTTCCTTCTAAAATCGAAAGGTGGATCAATAGTCTATCTTAGATCCTTTTACAACGTATCTGACTGTAGGACCTTCAGATAAAGAACTCTGATGCATTCGCATATGACAAATATTTGCGAAACCCATTTGTTTTTATCCGAGGATATTTATTAAACAACTTTCTCTATGATACTGTTAGTATTTGACAGGTGTATATCACGGCGATCTTTCGCGCTTTGTGAATTATCATCATGCGAGAGACAATCGTTCAATGAATACGTTACTCTGGTGCGAAACAGAAGAGTGGAAAATGTTAAATCAGATTTAAACAAAAGCCTGAAACCCGTGAGAGTCCAGAATAAATTCCCCAGAGATCCTAATAAATTTGTCTTCAATCACTCTTCAGTTCCGTTATCGACGGTACAACTAGAAGCTCTATCTCTCGGACTAAAATTCTGTGACGTTAATCTTAACAGCAACAGACTTCATACGTATATTCAATTCGGGAATCTCATAAGCCAAGCTCATGATATTACTCCTGTTTCTGACGCAGAATTCCTACACTTTAAGTCAACAATCTTCGATTGCTGTAATCATTATCTCAGCTTAAAAACCCAAGCCCGACGTCTCCTGACAAAAGAACATAGACAACAACTCAAAAAACTAAGAGATAAAGAGATAAATCCTTATGATTTAATAATAACATGTCCTGACAAAAGATCAGGAGTGGTCCTAATGGAAAGAGATGTATATATTAACAAATTGACAACAATTATATCAGATGACAAAAAATTCGCCAAACCCAACAACAAGAAAAAGAAGACAGAACTGATTGAAAAACAACTAACAGATGTTCTCAGAAGAATGAAGAACGACCGTCTGGTACCTGAGGACCTGTTCGATCGCCTGAAACCGACAGGATCAACCATTTCCCGACTTTACGGCTTACCAAAGGTGCATAAACCTGGCTTGCCGCTTCGACCGATTCTAGACATATCAGGGTCACCATACCATCCAATCGCCAAATGGTTGTCCGAAATGTTGGAGCCGGTAAGACAACACTTATGCAAATACTCTCTTTGCGATACTTTTGAGTTCATTGGATATATAAAAGATTTGAATGTAAATGATAAACGAATGTTATCACTAAATGTCGAATCTCTCTTTACCAACGTGCCACTAACAAAAACAATTTGCTTTCTATGCAATGCGATATGAGCGTCGGAGTACCAATATCATATCTGAAGGAATTGTTGCTTAGATGCACGCTGAATGTACAATTCACCTTCAACGGCGACATCTACAGACAAAAAGATGGAATTGCAATGGGATCTCCTCTTGGCCCGCGTTTAGCAGACTGTTTTATGGCTATTTTGGAGAGTGAAGTTTTAAAATCAACAATAAACAAGTTACTACTGTACAAAAGGTACGTTGACGATACCTTTATAGTCTGCTACGATAACTCGGACCTCAACTGCATCTTACAAGAATTTAATAATTCCCATCCTTAGATTAAATTCACAATGGAATCAGAAAACGATTCAAAAACGTGAAATTAGTAAGAAGAGATGATGGAACCCTGAAGAGGTCCATCCACAGAAAACCGACATGGAACGGCCAAATAACGCATTTCCATAGTTGGATACCTTTGAGCCGAAAACGAGCTCTCATAAGCGCACTAACTCATCGCATTAAAAAAATCTGCAGCAGCGATTGCATGGAAGAGGAGCCCCTATTCCTCGAAAATATCCCGGCTCAGAATGGCTACCCACAACGTTTTGTCGAAAAGAACATGAAACCTAAACCAAAAAGAGAAGAATGTGATTCAGCACCAAAGGAAACGCTGTATCTGAATCGGAATTTCAGGGGAGATTTGGTAGCCGATATTCTGAAGAGGAGAATATCCAGCTCTTTAAAGAAGACCTTCCCTGCAGCAACACTAAGAGTGACGTTCTCTAGCCGTCCAGTACTGTGAAACAGCACGAAGGACAATCTCTCGCAATGACCAATTCAATGTGCACATACCAGTTCACCCGCTCGCGCGGATTTAGGTACATAGGTCGTTGTGTGCGCGTCCTTTCAAAACGTGTTAGAGGACATTACCCAGCATGGCCGCGAACAAGGGACACCGGTTCAATCGAAGTGCCATTATTGAACATCTGATCAACACCTCCCACAACATCTCAACTGATTCTTTCAAATTAATTTACAAAGTCAACAGAAACCTACCAAAAGCAGTATGTTTCCGACTTCTCTGTACTGCAGAAGCCCTCGCAATATGCATCGAGAAGCCGGAGCTGTGTGTTCAAAAGAAATTAGGCCAACCTCTTCAACTACCATGGATCTAGTTCGGTATGTTCGCTTAGCTTCCGTTTTGGGTTTTCTTCTTTCGTTCTCTTTTTTCTTTTTGAGCTTTTTCCGTTCGCTGTGTGTCTGATCCTTAGTCCCCCAGTCTTCATTAGATTCACCTAATTTTTTCAGTTATAAAAACAGTTATTTTAAGTTTGTTTCCATGCTTTTCCTGTTCACATTTATAATTCGTTTAAAAAATTAACTATTTTACAATTATATCTTATTTAAAACAATTAGTTCCCTTTATGAATTTAGATAAAGCAATAAGACGTAATTTGCCTGAATCGTGTAATGTATTTGTGCAACACATTTCGAACAATCTGATCACACACGGACTTGTCATAGGAGTATATATGAAATTAATAAATAGGTAAGAGGTGAGAAAATAGACTTAGGTCAAGTTGAAAGTTGACACAGACTCTGGTTGATAACAATTATCCAGACAAGTTCATCAGGGGATATAAAGTAGTCAGAACACCAAGACCCACTCTGCAACTGGCCCCTAAGAAAGGCGTGTACATCAAGCTACCCTATATGGGGCATCAAAGCAGCTTGATAACTAGACAAAGACTGAACGCTGATGTTAAAAAGACTTTTTATGCAGATAATATCATAATAATAGAGAATGTAAAGCCATTATATCTATCTAAGCCGTTCGAACATACGAGAAATGACGTCACATCCCACCGTATTTACCAATTTGAATGTACGTGTGAACGCAAATACGTAGGGAAGACTCATCGATCTCTGCAAGTAAGGGCTGGCTTCAGAAACAAATGGATTCTTCAGAACCTATTAACGGTGAGAAGTGGAGATCTAGCTCTTCTCTTGCAAAACATATTATAGAGACAGGACATATAATTGATGTTAACAGATCTTTTAAACCTATCTATAAAACGTGTTCGGGGCGTATCCTAAAGTTTGTGGAAGCCCCCAGCAATTAGAAAGTTCAAGCCACCTTTATGCGTTCAAAAACAATTCTTCATCATAATAAAACCTTCCTTGGTAAATTCCGTTTCGATACCATAGCAGATGTACTATTACCTCTGCTATATGGTTTAGTGGTCTTCATTGTTATTTTAACCTTGAATATGTCCTTTTAACTTGACCTAAGTCTATTTTCTCACCTCTTACCTATTTATTAATTTCATATATACTCCTATGACAAGTCCGTGTGTGATCAGATTGTTCGAAATGTGTTGCACAAATACATTACACGATTCAGACAAATTACGTCTTATTGCTTTATCTAAATTATATCTTAATCCTGTGCAATTTTTGTGTTTCTAAGGCTCTTGTAATCTCTATTCACACCTAAATCCCATCTCAAGTTGAAAATTATTATTTCAATTTTGTTTCCATGCTCATTTTTACACACTTGTTATCCGTTCTAATCCTGTGTAATTTTGTTTCTTAGCCTGTCGTGAAAACCATATCTAGTTGGAAATAATCATCTTTTATTCGCCGTCGTAATTATGTGTAATCAAACAAGAATTGTATCCATGTAAAATTATGTATTTAATTGTGATTGTACAGATTTTGAAAATGAAATCGCCGAAAAGATATCTTTGCTGAACGTCGTGTTCTCTTCCTTCTAATCTCCATTTGGGTGTTTTCCACGATCAAAAAATGACATCAATCCAAGAAACTACTAACTTACCATTGGTCCTTAGTTTTTGCTTGGATATGGTATTGCAAAATTCTGAAAACTGATGATTAGAGAATGTTGGTGATACAGCTGGAAATTGTTAACAACGACTCAGGTGTACCCTACCTTTTCTAAGTTCTAAATGTTTCCAATACCTTTCTCGTAAATGGTTTTTCTCTCCTATCGTTTGTGCTCATTCACACCGTACTTACTTACTTTACTTTACTTCGGCTATCTCCTACGGGAGGATGAGCCGGCTTCATGAACGTCTCGAATCATCGCTGCCCAGGCGCGGCAATTTGTAAGAGAGTTCATGAAGTTTCATGGGAATTTGGTACGAGTGATGTCCCCAGCATCGCTCGGCCTTTTGTTTGAGAGTGCAGCTCTAGCCTTTACACAGCCAAGTGTGACCTACAAGGCAGTAGGAGTGGAGTAAGGAGTCCACTATCCATTGGCAGCCGGTGACCGGAGTTCGGTTCATACGCCTTTTTGAATGGGGCCAGACATCCAGGACATCCAACAAGCCGTAGTTGTCGTATAACTTGTGCTACTGAAAAGAAACAACACAAAAGATTTCTGCAAATGGTGATTTTCATATGTGTACATAATTTCGCTTCATAGTGATAACAAATTCTAAGTAAACGTTGCTTTACCAAGTCTCTTGTCTTTTACCGGTACAATAATATATCATTTACGTTAGTTTTTGATTGTGTTGCGTAAAAGTTCTACTTCTTAGATTGATACACTTCTGCTCTGCTTTCTGAACTTCCCTGTGTATACTTTTATGCAACCCACTCTGCATAATTTCTGTATTATTATCAACATATATCTCACTTAGTTTTCTCATCGAAAACGTTAACTGTTAACCAAGCTAATTAAAGATTTTATAGGTATTTAGTTACCGTGTAACTATATCTATCCTTTATAGTTTACAAAATAACTCCATTGTAGTCAAATTCACTCGTTTACTATAAATGCAGAGGATGTATGTCATTCAGCTGCTTTTGTCGACTGGACAGTGGTTGTATGAATATCTGTTAATAAATAATTAAACAATATAGTTAAATGACATGCGCTGTAATTTCAGTTGTGTGACATTTGGGAATTATTATTATTATTATGCCTGGTTAAGCACACTTTGTTTCGTCACAGCATTTAGTTTATTCATGTTTGCTTTATTCGCCTATTCCCCGGCTCAAACGTTTCTTTCTAGCTTGCCCTCGGTAATGTTATATCTGCTTTGGGTGACAAATCAAAGCGAGGTTGTCATGTACCTTATCGTGATTCTAAACTCACACGTCTACTGCAAGATTCCCTTGGTGGTAATTCTCGCACAATTATGATTGCCTGTATAAGTCCGTCCGACTGCGATTTCTTGGAAACTTTGAACACTCTTAAATATGCTAATCGTGCACGTAATATTCGCAACCGTGTCATTATGAACCAAGATAAAACAAGTAAACAGTTGGCTACATTGCGCGCTCAGTTGGCCGCTTTAGAAGAAGAATTAAATGAATATAAACAGGTGAGTTATTTTTCAAAACCAAATATATTAAATGCAACTGGTTTAGAAATACACTCGAATATTCTAATGTACACGTCATGTTCTCTTTTTGATGGACCCATCTACTCTCCACTTGTATTGTGACTATTTGATCAATAAACCAAAATAATTGTGATCAAGTCTGCCGTATTTCGTACTTCCATTGCCAGTAATTCTTCATTAAAAGCTTTTTGCAAACTAATGTTAGTCAGGATAGACACACTAATGAATATAACCTGACTTTGTCTTTAATGATTATTATTTGACTTTTGGGTAAACTCTCACAGCATGTGGTTGAGCCTGTATGAGTGTTTCATTCTATCTTGCATGTAAAATGTAATTCATTGATGATTCTGATCTACACACCAATACTGTTCGGTACGTTTTTCTCTTTCTTTGAATGACAATTGTTTTTTTAATGTTATGTTTGCGTTAGAGTGCATTTCAGAAAAAGAGTGTATATTTCAGAAACATAAAGTTTTTGTCAAGCCACCTTGTGTTTTAACTATGGTGAGACCTAGACTCCGTGTTGTTAGTATTGATAACGAGGACGAAAATCTGTAGGCAAATTTAATCCTGCAATCAAAGCCCTTGTTTTTGTTGATTCTCATAAAATGCATCTGAAGATCCACTTTTAAGCGATTGATATTTTTCATCATTTGCTATTCTATCAGTATTTGTAAGTACTGACTATATCTGTCACTGGAATCTTTTAGAATTGTCCCCTGAAGTGTGGTAAACAGATAGCAGTTTCTTTTTGTATAACCAATTTCAACCATTATAGATATTAACATGCTTCATCTTTTTGTTTCACAAAATCACAGCCTAGCGGTTTGTTATATTATACGGGCAAATTACTCGTGCCTAGATGTATTCCGTAGTTTTTTGGGTTGAATTATTCTTATCTGTATCTCTTCTATAGGTACAGTTGTTCAAGATATCTTCGTCTGTATTTGTATGTAGTGATGTTATGTGAATGCAGCAGAAATTCCACATTCCTTAAAAGTGTCGTGCATCAGTGAATTAGTAGATCATACTCGATATACAATGAACACTTTCAAATCGATACTACGTGAAAAATCGCGAGTTGATGGGATGTTCGGGACATTTATTTCATTATTTGAATGTCGTTGATTGCTTCCACTATTACAATTCTTAAATACCTCTCTCTCTAGGCATTTGCTCACCCCATCCCAACATAATGGAGTAGACTATGATTTATTCTAGATTTTAAGTTAGTGAATATTTTTGTTTTAATGGGGTAATTCTGTTTTATTCTAAATTATGGAATTCCGTCATATAGCGGAAAAACCTATACATATATGATTCCATCTCGTCATATGTTAGTGTGTATACAGTCACAAATTTCTGTACACATTTAACTATTTGGACTGCTCTATCAATGTCATAGATATCTGTGCTCACATTTATTTTAGAAGTAGCTTAGATTTTATGTCATTAGCGCTCTCGTTATTTTATTTTTGCTTTTAAAGTTGTTCCTTTATCATTTAAATAACTCATCAACGTCAAGTTGTTTTGATCCACAATCTACTTTTTTTCAGGGTAAACGGCTTGCAACATCTGATGGTCCGGAAAGTTCTAGCGATTTATCTCGTGAAATGGTCATGTTACAATCTGAAAATCACAAACTTCGACTTCGTGTTAAAGCACTAGCTGTTACTGTAGATGCTTTAAAAGTTAGTACAAATTGTTATATTTATGTTACTTGGAAACTGCAATAGCCTTAATATTAGCGTTTCGAAACTCTCAGTTCTTTTGACAGCTGTTTCGGTTGTCTGTACGTATATTCCCATTTTATTTCATAGTTCCACCTGATTAAAATACATTGCCTTGACTTAGGATTTAGTTCGTCATTAGGCTTTGAATCCCAACCTCCTTAACCTGGTATGGTTAGTCAGCCATCAATTGTCACGCTTTGCATATACTCTATGAGAAAGTGTAAGTGTGCATTGCATGAATTTTTGAACACATGCAAACTGAAGCAAATTTTTTTGTTAAAATAAATTATCAATTAAATGGTAAAATATGTATATTTGGACAAGTTTTTGACATACTGCAACTAGAAAACATACTTCGTGTTTTATTGTGGTCCTTGATTCCTAATATAGCTTCATAGATTTAACGAATCCTGTCATTATTTCTACAACTATCCTTTTCCATGTTGTTTTATTATTATTATTACTGTTTCCTTGGGTTCCGATTGATACATAGGCCTTCAACAGCACATATCCACTTAGCCCTACTCTCTGCGGTCTACTTTAGCTGGATCCCACGATTGCCCACACTCTCCACGATGACCACTTCACTTACCTCGGAAGCACCATCAGCCAGTGCCAACGGGTTGATCTCTGACGAGATCTCAGCACGGATGCAGGGGGCTAGTGTCACATATGCCAGTTTACGCCGTCTCTGGCGTAGACGAGATATCCGACTATCGACCAAAGGGCGGGTGTACTGCTCATCAGTCCGCTCCGTCCTCCTTTATGGCTGTGAGACCTGGCCATTGAGAGTGGAAGACATGAAAAGATTAGCTGTCTCTGATCATAGGTGCCTGCGTTCTATCTCCCGTGTGAAGTGGTATAATAAGGTGAGCAATATTGAGGTTAGGCGTCGAGTTCTAGGTAAGGAGGGAAATCAATCGACGAGGTTGTGAAGTTACATAGACTGAGATGGTTAGGACATGTGTTACGTATACCTAGTCATCGCCTTCCTCGACGAGCAATGTTGGCGGATATAGAGTCAGGCTGGGAAAAAGCTAGCGGAGGTCAAACAAAAACATGGCACCAGTCAATGAAATCTACAACAGCTAGTCTATGCCACGTAGGAAGGTGTAGACTTCCTGGTTTGGGTCCTCGGGACGGTAAAAACCAATGGTTGAAAACAATAGGTGACATGGCTCAAAATCGTTCTAAATGGCGCAGATGCTGACCCCGCGGTTGCCCACACTTTCCTATCTCCTACTCGCATGACCTCCTCCATGCCACCCTAGGGCTACTCACTCGTCGTTTCCCATCCGGATTCCACTTGAGGCCCTGGCGTGCAAGGTCTTCCGACGATCTCCTCAAAGTATACCCGACCCATCTCCATTTTTCTCCTACATATTTGTTGAGCGATCGACTCTTGGTTGATTTGTTCATCGCTAGAGTTTCTTGTTGTTGTTTCTTTTTGACCGGTCATTTGATATTCAGTGTGGAGCGAAGGCAGCTGTTGGTAAAAGTCTGTAACCTGATGGAAATGCTTTTCGTGACACGCAGTGCAGGTTTCTGACCCATATAGGAGCACTGACTGACTTCCCATTGGTGTTTAAAATGTGAATCTTGTTGTTTATGCTGAGTGCAGGAAATTTCCGAATTGGTTACAGATTGATGAAGGTGTATCTTGCCCTTCCGATTCTGGCTGACTTTGATATCTTCATACGTTCCGACCGCACTTTCTGGCCAGATAAGTGGAGGAGGTGACCTCGGTTAAATTTCTCCCGTTGATGGTAACTGGTGAAGGTTTTTGCGGTTCGTTGGTTATCTTCATCACCTCCGTCTTCTTTATGTTCACCTGGAGTCTTGTTGTCGCTGCTTCTTCTGATAGTTTGTTCGTTTTCGCCTGTAAGTCTTCGAGTCTGTGTGACATAAATCATCTGCTAAATGCAGATCTTCTAGAGTCTTTATACTCACCCAGTGTATTCCTGTCTTCTCACTCCCCACGCAGAGTATGACGCCTGGTTCAATCCACCACAATTAGGAATATCATTGGTGATAATAGGCGGCCAGTATGTTTTACTCCTGCATTCACTTCAAAGCCTTCGCTGAGTTTTCTGTTGTGGATCGCCTGACACGTGCGACCGTCATATAGCCAGCTGTTTGATAAAGATTCGGGCACTGCACGCCATGGTGTTGAAGTAGTTTCCAAATTACCTCTCGGTCAACGTTGTCGAAGTCGATGAAGTTGGGGTGGAGGTTTGACTGCTGTTCTCTGCTTTGTCCGATGATGATGATGCACAGAGTTGCAATTTGATCAGCACACGATTTGCCTTTCCTGAATCCAGCTTGTTTCGGTTGGCGGAGATCTGCATCCAGTGCATGTTTTAGTCTCTCCGAGATGCGACTTAGTATTTTGCCTGGCGTGAACAAGAGGATTATTCCACGCCATTCCATTCCGTGCAGAGGCCTAGGTCGGCCTTCTTTGGTAGCTTGACAAGGTAGCCAGCCTTTCTTCCAATCGGTGGACACCTTTGCATCTCTCCAAACCGTTTGCAGTAACGGTGTGAGCACATCTGCTGCAGTCTCTGGGTCCGTTTTCAGTTCTACAGGAGCGGTTGCGTCTGGTCTTGCTGCCTTCTCGGCCTTCAGTGGCTGGATTGCATTCAAGATTTCTGTCTCTGTTGGAGAATCGGTGTCCACTGGCAGACAGTTCTGTGCGTGCTGTCGGTGGTGGTGGTATTTCTTGGAGGGCTGCAGGTGATGGTTGATTCAAGAGTGCTTTAAAGTGGTCAGCCCATTGTTTTGTTTGCCTCTCGACTTTGGAAATTAGGTTTCCTCGACCATCTTTCATAGGTTTCAACTTTTTTATCTTTTCTTGGATAGAGACCTGGTTATCTGGTGTGATATTCTGAGGTATCTTTCACCTGCGACCTGTTCTACTGCAATTTCCAGTGTGTCTTTTGTCTTTCCTAGCACTCGTCTCTACTTCCTTATCCAGTGCGATGTACATTGAACCCAACTTCTCTTTCATCATCCTCCTCTCTTCTATTAAATCCCAGGCACCCGTTGAAAGCCATTCCTTGTCTTCCCTCTTCTTTCTTCCTAGAACTGTTGTACACGTTTCCTAGAACGTTACCTCCATAGAGTTCCACTGTTCTTCCACGCAGATTTCCTCAGGGATGCCACGTAGTAGTGTCTCCGACTTTGTTCTGATGGCTGCAGTGAAGGTATCTTTTGTATTTTGATGTCTCCATTTCGGGATGTTGTCCATTATTGTTGGTAGTTGTCTTCTCTTGTTCCGAGTTGTATGTAGGTGCGTAGCATTGGATGGTTGACACCTTTCTTCCTGTTGAGTTGAATCTTACTGTCTTTGTCTTGAAGGAGGTTGATTCACACTGCATAAGAGCTTTGACTGTCGTTGGTGATATCACGATAGCCACTCCTTCAGTGTGCTAATAGTTAACGTGTGGATGACTGGAGTAGATTACTGACTTTCAGGTTGAAAATTCGGATAGTCCAAACCCATTCCACATGCTCTTACAGACTGCTAGCACTTCCACACTATATCTTCTCAGTTCTTTGGTAACCTACGCCACCTTCCCAACTTCAGACATTGTGTGGACTTTCCATGTCCCCATTCTTATTTTGCTTCCATCAAAAGAAGACAGGCTGGCTTCCCGAAGACTTCAACCGGCCTATATTATTTCATCTCCCCGATTCCAGCGAAGAATAAAGTTCTTTTTTTATATTCTTTTGTGCGTTGAAGTTTCTGTATCAGTCTGATTGAGTTTTCCGAGTATGGTCGCTAGCCCGCCGCTTAACCCTTCATCTAGGTAGTGAACTAGGCGAGATTTGGTTCATTTGGTAGATTTTGGTCATTTGTTGTTATTGATGAATGGATCATCTGTGTTTGGGACTTTTATGTTTTTGTTGACAACCGCTTCATTTTGATTAAATAGCTTGTGGTCGTCTGAGGAAATGTTATTCGCCGTGATGGACTGATAGTTACGTAGTAAGTTTGGAAGACATGAATGCTTTATTCACGAAACTCGGTATTTATCTTTCGCCTTTCTTCTTTGTATAGTGCGTTGTGACGAAGAAATCTGTAGTCCTTGATATGAATAGTCACCAACAATTCAAAAACGCCAGTGAGATTTTTGTTACATATTCTATGGGCTAATTGATTGTCTTCCTGTTCATCTTCCTAGGTACGAAATGCCCAGCTTCTTGCTGATCAGGAAACATGCTCTTGGGCAACTTTGAAATCCCGTATGATGGGAGCAGTACAAGACGATAAATCTGATGATCAGAACAGCAGAGTAGAGTCTGATAAATCATATCTTGGTCTCATATCTGCCGATGCAGAAGATTTTCGACATCTTGTTGAGAAGTATACTGTTGAAGTCGAAGAGTTACGGTGAGCTTTTCAGTTTTGCCGATTTACAACTTGTGTGCAATATGAAATTCACGTAGTTTTGTACTGGTTTGTAATAAATGCATTTGCCAAGTGGCTCCTAGATTTTCGTATTTAAATAGCCCCTTGTTGTTGGACTTTGTTATTTTCCTTCATGATAACATTTGACTGATAATAAGTTATTCTTTCTTTTTTAAAACTGAGTTGTTTAATTTATTGAGCTTTTGTTAATTTGTTTTTGCATGAAATTGCTTTGCTTTATTTTTAGCACTAAATTGGCTGAAGCTGAAGCACTAGTCGAATTCAGTCAGCGACCGTATACACATACTTCATCACAAGTTGGTCGTTTATCAGGACGCCCACTTACAGCTAATTCAAGTAGCTCGAAAATTGATTCAACCTTTTCATCTACTCGAGTTGCTTTGACCAACGGGGAATTCCCAGATCTTGATTCTAGCTTGTTATCCGCTGCAGAAGCAGGATTGTCTACAGCGAATAAATTCTTTGATAATGAATTAATGGTAGACGCAAATGCAGTTGAATGTTATCCTCTCAGAATTCGCAAAAGTCGACGGAAAAAGAGACAAATTAACAGTTCACAGAGCGAAGAACGTAAACCTCTCAAGTCGAAAAGTGAGTGTTCCTTTCCCTCATACTTTTGTAGTATTAACCTAATTTGTCGTTGTGTTAAGGTGAATAAACCCTCTGACTGCTTACTATGTTTAGTGACCCACTCAGTGTCTCGGCCTGTTAGCATTAAGTCGAATTGTCATACTTCCTTTCCTTTTAATTTCTACGGTTATCTGATAGTGTTCTAATAAAAAGTGATAAGTGAAACAATCTCCAAGAAAAATGGCATCCTAATTGGCTCTCCGGATAGACAACTGGAACGCTGGAAAGAGCACTATGAGGAGCAGTTTCATTTGCCCACAGCCACGCTCAAATTACCCAGAATCCAACACTCCCCTGAATGGGATATAGACACAGGTCCTGAGGTTACAAAAACTGTCACCAATCTGAAACTAGGCAGAGCGGCGGGACTTGATGGAATGATTCCAGAGGTATTTAAATACGGTGGAGACAGTTTACTGCCTGCATTAACTGAGGTTCTAAGCAGCGTCTGGGAATCAAAGGGAGTATCGTCGGGTTCGTGTAAGTCACTGATTATCCCCATATAGAAGAAGGGAGACAAGTCTTGATGTGATAATCACAAGGGGATTAGCTTGACTGATATGGCATCTAAAGTTCTAGGCTCAATAATAATGCGTAGACTAAGTGGTGCTCGGGAATCACAAACACGAGAGAACCAGCCAGGCTTTAGACCGGGAAGAGGGTGTGTTGATCATATCTTCACCCTTCGACAGATTCTGGATAATAGGCATACTTGTCGGCGTCTAACAATCGTCATATTTCTTGACCTGAAAGCGGCATTCGACTACGTCGACAGAAAGTTACTATGCCGATGTTTGGCTATGGAGGGAATTCCGAGAAAATACATCTAACTGATCAAGGCACTCTACTCGAACCCATGTAACCAGGTGAGAGCTTACGGCGAGTTGTCATCTGAACTGGTGACGACTAGTGGTGTCCGTCGGCGATACCCACTGTCCCCATTTCTGTTTAATTTCATCAAAAATGTACTAATGAACTTAACCTTAAATGACTTCAGCGACTCAAGGATTGGCTTTTCGCCATCAAGGAATAATAGTCTCGTTGACTTGAAATATGCAGATGACATCGTCCTTCTTAGGTGAAGATGCTGACATAATACAGTCTTCTGAACACCTTGAGCGGCAACCTACGTATGTTTGGCAAGCGATTCGCTCTCGCCAAATGCAAGATGATGTTACAGGATTGGACTACACCGACTCCTAGATTAGAAATAGGAAGTGAATTGGTAGAGCACGTTGACTGATTCACTTATTTGGGAAGTATCATCAGCCAGTGCCAACGGGTTGATCTCTGACGAGATCTCAGCACGGATGCAGGGGGCTAGTGTCACATATGCCAGTTTACGCCGTCTCTGGCGTAGACGAGATATCCGACTATCGACCAAAGGGCGGGTGTACTGCTCATCAGTCCGCTCCGTCCTCCTTTATGGCTGTGAGACCTGGCCATTGAGAGTGGAAGACATGAAAAGATTAGCTGTCTCTGATCATAGGTGCCTGCGTTCTATCTCCCGTGTGAAGTGGTATAATAAGGTGAGCAATATTGAGGTTAGGCGTCGAGTTCTAGGTAAGGAGGGAAATCAATCGACGAGGTTGTGAAGTTACATAGACTGAGATGGTTAGGACATGTGTTACGTATACCTAGTCATCGCCTTCCTCGACGAGCAATGTTGGCGGATATAGAGTCAGGCTGGGAAAAAGCTAGCGGAGGTCAAACAAAAACATGGCACCAGTCAATGAAATCTACAACAGCTAGTCTATGCCACGTAGGAAGGTGTAGACTTCCTGGTTTGGGTCCTCGGGACGGTAAAAACCAATGGTTGAAAACAATAGGTGACATGGCTCAAAATCGTTCTAAATGGCGCAGATGCATCCACTCCTTGTGATTTATAATATCCAATGAAATTATATTGTTCTTCCATATTGTTATTCTTTGTTTCTCATACTTCTCTGTGTACTCCCTGCTCTTGTTTTATGCGCCACATAGAGTTTGGCAACTCGAACTGTTGCACATTCGTGCAAAGTTTTACGTTGAAACCAGCCAGTGTTCTAATGCTAAAGTAGCCTAAGTCATACTGCACTCACACAGCTTTCTGTCAGTTCCTCGTTAACCCCTCTTATTTCAAAGTATGCTGAATTGTAAAATACATTTACAAAACTTAATTTTGGTGTCAGAAATGTGTCGGATTGTTCAATGACAAGTTCACCTCTATTTTGAACCAAAAGTGCATTCATTCTTTCAACCGACTATTATTTTACTGCTTGGGAAATTTCAATCTTGAGACTAAAAGCAGTGGCCATCATAATTTAAGTCGCTTACACTCTTTTGGGAGTTGGAAGGTGAATTTGGACTGCTGCAGAGGAATACGACAGCAGTAAAGTGTTTCCCACAGACGACCACCATACTAACTTTGCTGCATCTCCTCTCTGAGTAGGCGGAGTTATCGACCTTCAGAATTACAAGCTGACTGAAAGGTTTAACAACTGTCGTGAGCAATGGTGAGTGACTAAACCAAAAGACAAGGAAAAGTCATCAGCGCTGAATGATACTAGGCAATTATTTAGATTGTGAGAAGTCACTGGTAAGTAAAACGGTTTCTGAAGTCGATATTTCAATTAGCTGTTAAGTTAGACGAATAATACCATGGGGGAGACACTTTGAATACCTATTTACCTGGCCTACATTCACTTTGAATTTTTCCAGCATCCAGCACCTACCTTAGTTAAGATGTAGGCTCCAACTCTAACTGGAATCGCAATAGGTACTCGGGGATTGACTTGTCACCAAGAGTCAGTCCCGTCAATTTAGACTATGCAGATGATATGGTCCTTCTGTGTGAAGACACTGACGAAATCTAGTCTTGAGCACCTCGAAGAGAAATCCTGGTGTATTTAGCATACGATTTGCACCTGTTTAATGTGAGGTAATGCTGCAAAACCGGTCTGCGCTGACTTCTAGTTTAAAGATAAGAAGCGAGATGGTTGAACGTGTTGACAACTTCACTTATTTCAGAAGTTGCATCAGTTCTAATGAAGTGACTGCTGACGAAATCTTAGCACAGATACAAAATATGCGTGGCACATTCGTTAACTTACATGATGTTTGGCGTGGTCACAATACTCGGCTATGGATCAAAGGACGTGTGTGCTAAACAATGGTTCTTTATGGCCATGAGACGGTGCTTAAAAGTGGAGGAAGCTGTCTTTCACCACAGGTACTTGCGTTTGGTACAATAAGGTGAGTATTACTGGTGAAATGTCAGGTAGGGGAGGATAAGTCAGTGGGCGGGGTTGTAAAGCCACGTCAATTGAGATGACTAGCATAGGCGTAACGCATGACAATTCATCTCCTTTCTCATCAAACGACATTACCTGACGTAGGATTAGGCTGGAAAAGAGTTGTAAGTGGTAAAATCAAAACATGGCATCAATTTCTGAAGTCTTTAACTGTTGGTTTGAGTCACGTAGGGAGGTGTAAACGACTGCTCGACTGAGTTGTTGTAGAAATGCTGAGAATCAACAGCTAGAAGTCGGTGGTAATATATGGCTTAGAGTCATGTTTGATGTTGCATTTGCTCTTTATGAATTCAGAGACCCATCAAATCGTCGTTATCTTCTACGCATTTATTCATTTTCCCATAGATTTCTGTTCAGTATAGTTTCTTTGAAGTTTTTGTACTTTTGTGTGCTAAATGGAGTGGCTTTTTGAACTGCTACGTTTATGTGCAAACTTTTACGTTGAGACTGAGTCAATCAATGAGGCTTATCCTTTTCCCCATATATTTCAGTTGTTTATTGAACTTGTTTCTGTCTTTTCTTTTTCTAGTGACTAATGTTGCTGCTTTTTCTGACATTGAAAATTCCAAAAGTAGTAATTCTCGGAGGAGAGGACGGCGGACCTTTTTACCTGATGATACAGATAGCACAGCAATTGAGGGACTCTGTGATGAAGATCGAGAGAATGAGGTAAGTTTCTTGGTGTAGGTTTTATAATGGCTTTTTCTCCTGTATGACTTTTTGGCATCAGTCAACGAAATCCACAACAGTTAGTTTAAGCCACGTAGGGAGGTGTAGACTGGCTTCCTGTTTTGGGTCCTTGGGATGTTAAGAACCAATGGCGACTGGAAACAGTTGGTGATATGGCTCAAAGTCGTTGTCAATGGCGCGGATGCATTCACTCTTTGTGATTTATAATATCCAATGAAATTATGTTGTTCTTCCATATTGTTATTCTTTTTTCTCATGATTGTATTTATTATCTCTTTTTGAATCTCTTTGTATTCCCTCCTCTTGTTTTATGCGCCACATAGAGTTTGGCAACTCGAATTGCTTCAAATTCGTGCAAAGGTCTATGTTGAAAGCATTCAGTCATTCAGCCTGTATGACGTCACCTTTGTGGCTCTATCCGGCCTATCACGTAAACACTAAATACCACTATTGATCAACTGACTCTCCATACATTGTTTTTTTGGTAATGACTACTGAAACATCCAGTGGTATCATATGACCACTTGCCATTTTGCTATTATAACATTGTGCATCCTGTTATCTTTAATGAGTCATTGCTGTTAGAAGATTCTGTATCGGATTAAATTGTCATGAATATAGTGATCCGTTGTGCGGATCACTTTAATCTTTCGTATTCCTTTCTACCATTACCCATTCTGTTTCACGCTTATACTTGTCAAACTCTGTTGATTCTCTTCACTCATCTTGTCTACCTTTGTGTGCTATTCGGAACGTTGCAACTCGAACTGCTGCACTTCGGTGCCAAGTTCTATGTTGAATCCAGACAGACAGACTGTTGTGCACGTTCCTACTTCGTTATAGATCCATAAACCTCAATTCTTATAATCCTACTAAAATGTATTTTCAAACGTAGGAATGTGATTATTTCAGTTTGCCGATATTGCTTTTATAGTACACCCCTAGATGGAATATAGAGTTTGTTAAACATTTTATTTTCAAAATTTTACTTATATGTCTGGATTTTCGCCCTAACTTGATTTTGTTTTCAGTTATTCTTTTAACTACTTTCCGTTGTTGCTTTTCACATTTTCAGAATGACAGTGAAAACGTTGAAGACGAAACTCTTTTGGGTAATGATGCAACAGAATTAAGTGATTCATGTTCTGATAGTGATTCAAAAGGTAAATTATTTTACACTTTCCAACTAGCTGTTTTCTTAAAATTAGAATGATGTATGCGCATTTGTTTTCTTACATAGCCTATTTAAGTCGCGTTCACGTTGATCTATGTTGTAAATTCGCTATTAATTCGATGCATTATTAGTTTTCATAGGCAAATAGATTTTCTGATTACTGGTTTTCTTTAAAATACAGTCGGTAAAAGTAATATCATTATTATTGTTCCCTTGGATTCCTAGTGGAACATAGGGCTTCAACTGCACGTCTCCACTTGCTTCTGTCTTCTGCTGTGCTTCTCACCTGCAACCATGTTAGTCCATACTGTTTCAACTCCTCTTCACACGATCTCCTCCATGTCACTCACCCTTGGACGTCCCACTCGCCGCTTCCCTTTCGGATTCCACTCGAGCAATGGCCTGATGCGCGATGTCACCCAGTGGCCTCCTCAGCGAGTGTCCGATCCATCTCCACTTTCTCCTGCATATTTGTTGGGCAATTGATTCTTGTTTTGTTTCTTCCTATAGTTTCTTGTTGGTGATTCTTTCCGGACATCTGATCTTCAGTATAGATTCAGAGAAGACAGTTGTTGATGAAGGTCTGCAACCTGTTGGAAATATTCTTTATGACCCGCCCGCCAACTTTCTGATCCGTATAGAAGAACTGACTTGAAGTTTGTATTGAAAATCCGAATTTTGTTGGTGATGCTGAGTGACGAAGATTTCCAGATTGATTTCAGGTTGATGAATGTGTTTCTCGCCTTCCCGATTCTCGCTCGATTTGACATCCTCGTCCGTTCCGACTTCCTGTAGTTGAGACAATGCTCCCTAGATAAGTGGATGAAGTAACCTCTTTCAAATCCCTCCCATTGATGGTGATTGGTGCTGGATGTTGTTGCTGTTGTTGTTGTTGGTTGGTTATTTTCATAACCCCCGTCTTGTCTATGTTCACTTGGAGTCCTGTCTTTGCTGCTTCTTCGACCAGTTTGTCGGTTTTTGCTTATAAGTCTTCGATTTTGTGTGACATCAGACATAAATCATCCACGCGCGAAATCCAGGTTTTCTAGGTTCTTCATGTCGGTCCAGGATGTCCCTGTCTGCTCGTTTCCCACTGTCTGACGCATGATCCAGTCCACCACAATTAGGAATATCATTAGTGATAATAAGCACCATTGTCTGACGCTTGTGTTTACTCCAAACGCCTCGCTGATTTTCCCGTTGTGGATCACTTGACATGTGCCGTTGTCGTAGAGCTGTTGAATAAGGTTGATGGATATTTAGGGTACGCCGTAGTGCTCGAGTAGTTTCCAAATTACTTCACGGTCAACGCTGTCGAAGGCCCTCTCAAAGTGTATAAAGTTGAGGTAGAGGCTTGATTGCCATTCCATGCTTTGTTCGATGATGATGCGTAGAGTTGCAATTTGGTTAGAACATGATTTGCCTTTCCTGAATCCAGCTTGTTCTGGTCGGAGTTCTGTATCCAGTGCGTCCTTAATTCTCTCCAGGATGATGCAACTCAGGATTTTACTTGGTGTCTACAGGAGCATGATTCCACGCCAGTTCTTGCAGAGTGAGGCGTAAGTCGCCCTTCTCTGGTAGTTTCACGAGGTAACCTTTCCTGTAGACAGTAGACACCCTTCCCTCTTTCCAGGAGCTACTAATCTAGGCGAGGTTCGGTGAAATCATGAATACTATAAACGTCCTATATGAAGTATCTCATTTCTTAAAAATGCGGGTAGGAGAGTAGACAGAGGTATTTCGTGCATAACAAGTTGTGACAAGTTTTCAAGTAGTTGAAAAATAATGAAGGAAATGAGAAATTTTTATTTTACGACTAAATATGCGTTCATTAGCATCTAACAGGCTCTAAACCATATTTATTCTGTGAGGATTAATGATACCACTGAGTCTGAGGTCATTTAGGCGTAATTCGAATCTGGCACCCGTTGGCTGAATGTTGAGTGTTTACAATAATGTCACATCTCCACGATCCATTTATAAAGATATCATCGTCTTTGCGTTGTTTTGTAAAGTGTGGATGACAATAAAATTATGATTTACATTCACGTCTAAAGTTTATCTAATAAAGTCTGTCTGTCTTTATCAATGAAACACTGTGCGTTAGTGTATTGTCAAAATTTTGAGAACTGCTCAGTTATCGATGAAGACAACTTAAATTTCAACTGATTTTTGTGAAAGGTAGGGTTCATTCAATTTTGTTTAAGAAAATGATGACCTCAGTTCTCTTAGTGGGGAAAATGGTAATCTAGTACTGCTTTAATTACGGGATTTCAGAAATCCAGTAGTGGTATGGTGTTATTCTGATCATTAGGGAAAAGTAGGAAAAATCATTATTTATTTATTACTCAGGGACGAATCAGTTTCCCACAGTCCAGTTTCCCTAATCATAATATTGTTTCCCATGGACATTACTCACAGTATATGTTTGCTACAGTAAAAATATTTCTCAAGTACATACCTACCTGTATTTGTTTATGCTCTCAAAGACGTCATGCAAATAATTTTATATATATTGACTTTCGTAGATAAATCGACTTTTTCTTATTCTTTTTTCTTAATACTGTTCCAATAGATTCTATCGAAAATATCTTGATGGGAAGTATGAGCGATCATACTAACGATAAACCACAATGTGGGTTGAAAGAAGCTCGACTGCATCAAAGTTTAGCCCATGTATCCTCTGAGATTGACACAAAGCAAAGGTTAATTGCTGAGCTGCAGTCTAAGGCTGCCGAACTCAGTCATTTAAAAAATCATTATGAACGTCAAATGGCAAGTCTTCTGTTTCGGATAAAAGAGACGGAACGTGAAAGAGATTCAATAATTGCTAATCTCGGCCAAATAGAGCACAGTGGCGAAGAGAGGTTAAAACGTACTCGAGAAGAGTTTGAAAAGAAATTATCCATATTACAAGTAGGTGCATCTTATCCTTAGTTTTATTTGTAATATGACTGTGTATCTCACTCGATACAGCCGATACTATCATGTCAAACTCATTCCTCTAACTGATCGTCTTCATTTAACAGGAAGAAGTTTCACAACTTCATTTGTCCCGCCAAGAACAAATTCGTCTGGAACGACAGCAATCTAAGAAAAATGAAGAGTTACGTCTTTTACGACAAGAACTCGAACAATTGCGAAAGTACAAAATCGATCTAAGTAAACGTTTAAGAGAAGAAACCCAGCGTACTCGTCATTTAGAAGCTTTGTCAGCCAAACGTGTTATGGAGTTGAAAAAAGCCAAATCGCAAGCTGATAATCAAATAAAAACACTAGAAGCAGCTCATTCAGCTAAAGACCGTGCTTTGCAACAGAAACAAGCTGAGGTAATGAAGCTGTATGTTTATCAATTAAATAGACATTGATTTCTGCACTTATATATCCATAAGCCATCTATTAACATGATAGTTTTCATTACTTTACCCAAGGAGTAATTTGAATCAGCGTTGAAGTCATTGTGTTATGTAATTCTTCTGTAATACAGTTGAAGTTTCATTTATCAGTAAATATTTATTATTTGACCATTTATTGTTTCTTCGAAGAATCCCACTTATTATCCTTCTTCCCATTTCATCAACTGAACTTCAGATTTGTTTCTAGTGATTATAAGACCAAGCAGTTTTGCATATCTCAAACGCTTGTCCTTATCATATCTACTTTAAATTACTGTTTCAAGTGTCTAAAATATAAGAAATCCTTTCAAGTTGGTTCCCCTTGTCAAATGTGCCAGTTTATATATTTCCTGTAACCATGAATATGTATCTGCCGGCTTATGTTCTTATGCGTTTTAAAATTTTGGAGCTCAGTACTGTTCAATAATTTATAGTGAAAAATAAGATATCTTGTCAGAGCCAGTTGAGAGAAAGACTGTTAGTGTCACACAACTTGGCACTTTTGTACCATATGCCTTGATTTAAAATAGCTGTTTCATTCAATTCATATGATAATTGTCCTGCTTTTAAAAGTGTTAGTTGAGTGTGTTTTGGCATCTTTCAAATTATTTGTGTGTGTTTGAAGTTCCGATGTTGAGAAACTGAGTGAGAATCAGCTTACGGTATTCACGTCATTTTTGGAAAAAGAAACAGTGTCTAGTGTATCCTCAGCAAGGAAAATTCGTATTTGAATGTGCTAAGACAGTGTGAATACAAGTATCCAATGAGTCTTTCTCGAAGTGCTATCAATTATAACCAAAATAAAAGTCATCTGATAATACTTGAACACATTTTTTCTAAAATATTGCGATATTTACTTGTTCTCGTCTTATATAATACCTCCTTCACAATACTACAGATTGTTTCATAACCTGATGAGGATGGGCATATAGTTTTAGTATTTACGTCGATAAAAACTGAAGCTTAGAAAAAATATTCGGGAGCTTTATCCATCCCAGTTGCAAATTATTCGTGTTTAAGTCTACCGTTTACTGAGTAGGTGTTAATTCGTTTTTGAATTTTAACTCTAATCCTTATTTATTGATAATTGCCGCTTTAAATAACATCAATTCATTTTATTTTGCAGTTAGATGTTCTTAGGCGGAAGAATATTGAACAGCAAAGACAATTGTCCTCTTCTTTCAGTGGTCGTATGTCTCAGAGTGTATTAGGAATGACAAGCACCGGTTGGGGTTCACTACGGAAACCAATCGGTCGAGCTTCATTAAATAATTCAATATACGGTAGAAATCGTATATTCGGGACAGCTAAAGCTAAATGGGCACTGATTTCTCAGGAACTCGATGCCAATGTTGAACGACGTCAGAAGTCATCACGCTTGGAACATGATCTGCAAACATGGCTTCGTGAGCGTGAGTGTTTAGGGCGTCGATTGAAATGTTTGCAGCGTCGCAGAGCTCGTATTGAAGAAAATGTCACGAATGATTCAGGACAAATGGAGAACTCATCTAACTTAGCTGAATTTAATGAACAGGTCAGTTTTATCATTGTAGTGTTTTTTGTCGTTTTATTAGCATAGGAGCCAGTTAACCTTAAAAAATACAATAAAATGTTTTTGTTTCACCTCTTACAGATAAGAAATGTTACGGCTCAACTCGAATCTGTTCAGGACTCTATACAGGAATGTCAGGCTAGCATCATTGAATTTGAGAAATGTGAATCTAACACATCAAAACCCACTGGTAATAAACAGGCTAAATCTCAAGATTCAAGACAAAATTTGTCTTCGTGTAGCAATAATCAATCAAATAATGTGCATGCGATATTCTCAAGTTGCACATTAAATGAAGCACGTTTTCTTCTTACTCAGCTTTTTGAAACTGCTGTTTCTCGTGGCTTGCTAGCTACCCGACTGCAACAGAGTGAAATCCAGTTACAAGCCAGTTTATCGATGAAGGAACAGGAACGAGAGCAAGAATTAGAACTTATTAAGCTTGCTATGCAAAATGCTGGAATATCACCTGATTGTATGGGAACAGTGTTTTCTGTTAATGAACGTCCATTTCGAAAGCCTTTTTGTCAACATAATGGAAAATCAAACATTACTGGTTATGAATGTTGCTCATATGCTCTTTCATCTGCACCTGTCTCCTCAGAAGACTCCTCTGATGAATTACAGAATGAAGACAATCAAATCCAAACATATTCTAACTTTTTAAGTAACCAAAATAGGTTTCCAATGTCCAGTTCTATGTGTGCGAATATGGAACCATCTAAATATGGTGAGTGTTTAATATTCGACTTATTCTAAATCGGACATTGACTTGGAATTCGTGTAGTTTTATACCCTTATATAAAGTTAACATAGTTTTAACTCACAGTATGTATTGTGGTATTTTAGCGGTGTAATGTGCTTTCAAACCAAATCAAGACGTTTGAAGGTTTCAGGTTCTAGTTCGCATGTTTATTTTCAAGATCTACGACTTTATGATCCTCCAAGTATTTGTTTAGTGCGTTATGTGGAAATTGACTCATATTTTAGAAATTCCTAATGCCTATTGATCGATCTCAAAGCGTGTGATTTCCTGCTTGTTTCAGCTTAAACATCATCTGTCTCCTTATCATGCTTAGAGTAGCTTCGGGAGCTTTCTCAAGAAAAACACCAATGCCTAGAGTAACAGAACCGCTAAAACATCCACATATTGAACCTCAAATGTATATGGGCATACCACTGAGCAGTCAGGGAAAATGGTATTACATTTAATATTGTCTTCCTATGGACAATCGGATATGTAATTGTGCGATGGTGTAATATGGACAATTTGGTCCAACGGAATATGATTCTTACGTATTCTCACAGTTAAATGCTGCATTAACAGCAGAATACCATGTATACCTGAACATTCTATTTAATGTCGTTTAGTGTGAACCAAAATCACACACAGTGATTGATTAAGGAATATATAGACAGCGGTTTGATTAATAAGTAAGATACCTTGGCTCCCGTGTCTCGCCTTCTGTTTTTACAATTGGAGGTGTTTTCTGTTTGCACCTTTGAGAGGTAAAACTGTTATGAACCGTAAGTTATTCAATGGCATCATAATAATAACGTATATATATATATATAAACAGAATATATCTGTTTTATTCGTTTGTGTATGCTACTTTTGCAGTATAGTAACTTGAATGAATGCGTTTTTGTGCGAAATTGTACGTTGTCATTCCATCCCGGATACTAAGTATGCTCAAATACAATTGCAGTTTTTTAGAATACTCTCCGGTATTCGATGCCTCATTTTAAACGAATCTGTATCACGTCACTTATTGGAAATCTCAGAACAGTCATTATAATGATTGACTTCACAAATCGACTGACAGCCTAGCAACCTGTGTGTATAAAGCGGATATTGAATTAGTAGTTTCGAATTTTTCATATTGTGTGTAAGACTTTTTTGTTTGTTTTCATTCGTTCATTTTACTCAGTATAAGTTGTGAGTGTGTGTTAAAGGTGTATGAGTGGTAAGTTAATTTCATTCTTCCATTCTTCATAGCCTGCTTTTTTCGTGGAAGTTTTGGCTTATTTTAAGGATGGAGTACATTATAATTCCTCTTAAAATTAATTATTGTCGTATCGCTAGGTTATTCTCTTCTATGTGTTCGTTAACCTTGGTTTCACTCAAGATAGTCGTCACATGAGTAACTTGCCTGTTGTCTAAACACAACACTAAATGGTTTCTATGCTTTCATTTTTAGATGCACAAGATGCCTCTTGGGGTTATGGTGTTTCGGATAGGTAAGTTTCGTCCTACTAACTTTGTTCCTGTATCTTTTTATTCCCATTTTAAAGTTATATCAAACATATTATTATTGCCTTTGTGTATTTCCTCAAGTAGCATTGAAACCATTCTTCGTGAAATGTTCACTAGCATTGGAAATTCGTTTGTAGTATTACCTCTTGGTCATGTGTTCAACATCATATCTGTTACATTTGTGTAAATGTTACACCTTTTTCACATCTCTGTTTAACAACCTACTTAACCAGGCACACCCATGTTTGTTTTTTGTAATAAAAGAGTGATTATGATTCTTTTGAAAAGCAATACATGTTCGTTAAGGTAAGAGTTTATAAAGGTGGCAACAAATAAATTAATTCCTGCTAAAAGTGACTTCAATCAAATTTTTTAGTGAGTTCCCAATAAACAAAACTTTGACTAAGGCATCTAGTTTCATTTAGTTGATGGCGAATATGAATCTTTTTTGACTTGAGATGTCAGCAACCGAAGACCATCAACACTCACATGTGAGTTGTATGGACAAGCATAAACAGTGGTGAATTTTCATTGGGTACTAGTTTTCTAACTGTTGCAGTTAGTTTGTAACGTCATTATATTTGTTGTGACACAACTTTAAAATAATATTAATGTATCAGAACTATACAGAACACGATGTGCATTACCACCGCTTTCCGGCTTTGAATGTCAAGGTATATTATCAACATAGGTCGTATTCATCATTCACTTAGCTTTGTGCTGCTTATCATACCTCTCTCCATATATTTTGCCAATGGAAACCCTTAACAAAAAGTGCATTGCTTCATAGACAACCCCGTGTAAAGTAATACAATTGAATATGGAAAGTTGAATCCTTGATGTTTTCATCTCTAGTCGTATTTTACGGTGGGATATTCTATGCAAACTTATCACACCTCATAAGTAAACTGTCATTGTCCATTTATTATAAGTAATGAAATAAATTTAAGTGAACTTTTTATTACTTCCATATTAATTTTAAGAGTTGGTTTTTAATAACTCCATTATGGATAAGATTTTATTTTGATAAATCACACACTGTTATACAGTAATATAAAATAAAATCTTATCCATAATGGAGTTATACTCTACCTCATTGCCCAAGTTCTATACTTATATCAATAATACATATGGTTTGTAATGATTAGATTTGTTTTTCGAGCTTGACTGTGAACCAGTGAAGTACATCCAATCGGGAATGAGAATGGATTTCCCACCGATGACATTGGTTGGTTGTCGCACTAAAATCACAAATTGATAGGAGTTCATAGAATTCATGAACCATTGAATTGGGTCCCAGTGGCTGAATAATATACGAGCTTGTCTTGTGACTGTTGCATCATTCCGACTGCACATGTGCGGCGTTAAGCCGATCATTAAAGATTCGTTGATTAAACCCTCTCTTCACCTAACTCCATTGCTTTTTAATACTCTCACCCTGTCTTGAGCTTTTTTTCATGTAATTATTCGTATACCGGAGATATGGAAAATGGTAACAATTAAAAAAGGGAAGTTGGAGAGAGGGGAAGAGAGAAAATATATGTAAGACAAATTGTGAAACCGTGTGATTAAAATTGATATGATTATGAGCAATGATTTATGCTCGAAACATCATCCAGTTATTAATACTGCATCACTGGTTGATATTTTTTATTACTCTTTTGCTAAATAAAACTAATATCACTTTGCGCTTTATATATATATGGCTCCGTTCAACTAAGCCGCCTGGTAGCTACAGTTCTGATCTCAAACTTGTTATTTACGCTACTTACAAATAAGTGTTACCAATAGTGGATTGGTTATTCTCTTGAAAAATCAATACTATTTTTAAGGTAACTTCGTAGTACTTTGTACTGCTTTCCTGAGTTCAAATCATAAATTTATCGTATTGCTGTATTTTACGCGAAACCGTAGGCAAAATGATGCACTTAGGCGTAGTTAACTGCAATATGTGCATATTAGAGCCTTTACATATGTACTTCTAAACGTTAGCAGTAGTCCGTTTGAACTCAAAGCGGTCACTAAAAGTGTAGTCAGATTCATTAAACTTACCCAGTATAATGAGGATTAAGGTACACTCGTTATACGCATATATGTATATTCAGGTAAAAGAGGTAGGACTTGAAGTTAGGGTGTGATATTGTTGGTTGTGACAGCAGTTGCATATCTATAGAACTATGTTAATTAGTTTTCAGTACATATCATGCTGATTTTGTTTATCTGTATCTTTTTGATAATGCTAATTTATAAATATGAATAGATATCTTGAATCGCTGGAAAATATTTTTATTGTTTTTTATAAATAATCAACTAACGTCACCACTTATTTTTTCTCGAATACCTTGTTTATATGCATATATTTCATGCGGAACTATTCAGTTAAAATGACTGACAATTTAATTTTTCCATCTTTCACACAAATTGTATTATTTTTTTCCTCAGCGGTGGTATAAACGGAAGTGATCCTGGTAACAAGGCTCCTAAGGTAATTTTTAAAAGCCTAACATAATTCCGTATTTTTATCAAACTGACTCGTAGATTTGAATATGAAAGATTTATTTTTCTCCCTTTGTAATACTAGTTCATCTAAATGGAACATCAACTGATTCGTATAGACTTAAGAATATCTGGTTAGAAGTAGTAGTAGCATCAGTACTAGTAGTGGAGGAGATCGCAAAGTGAAACAATGAATTCACCTGTTTTCTTTATTATGCGTTTTGTAAAGCTGAAATTTTAAGTTTTTCCTTTTATGCTCATTTGGAATCGCCTTTTGATTTTACATACTGCTAAATATATAAGAAAACGTCATTTTGTTTATTTCATAACTATTGATTCATCAAGAGTTCTTCCTATCTGGAAGTTATTTGCAGCTGCAAAATCGTATTCATACTAAATACAATCACATTACGATCACTCATACATAGCTGTCACGTCAATACCGTTTCGAAAATTCTATGGAGAGTTACACCTCAATTTATAAAATTACAAAGTTTACAACTTCAGAATGATTAGTTCAAGCGTTTTAATACATATTGGAACTCTTTAGTGGACACTTGTGGAGCTGTTTGATTTGAATTAATCACGTGTTTTCTAATTGAGTTGGTTATTGATCCATAATATCTTGGCGACTGCACTGAAATGTGTTGTGAATTTATGCGCCTTGCCTGACCATATATATATATAATCAATACAAAACTCAATTAAAATAGCAATGAAAGAGGGTTGTTTTTCAAGGCATCTGTCGAAGTGCGTGTTTTAATATTGTAAGCTATATTTTTGAGGCCATAAGGATTTACCGCTGAATTGCTCTGCCTTAGAACTTTCGACCCATTAATATGGACTATAAATCACTTTGAGTGTGTTTTTCTGTTGAGAAATTGATCGACTGTTCATTGTTTATAAACTGTTACCTCACGTATGGTTTCACTGCGACTTCTTATTATCATTCACTTCTTTCATTTTGTTTGACTTTATTATCCTCAAGACAAAACGGCGTTTAGTGCAAGGTGAAGAAACAGCTGACGTTTCTTCAAGTTTTTTCATTCCAACTTCACAGTCAGTATGCGATGTTATGCCACCTCCAATTTCTACTCTCCGACGCCCTCGAACTGTTTTAAATATGTCTTCAAATACTGTTGCGAACAATCCTTCTTCTCTTCGTTCTTCGTGTCCTCCTAGTGCTGTTCATTCTCCTACGACTAGACGGAATGTAACAATCATTGATGGAATTCCAAACTCTGCACCTTCAAACTTACAACTGTCAACAGCGCGTTCTGCGACAAGTAATGTAGGTGGTGTTCCTCATACAATGTCGACTTCGTTGATTTTACAGCCTACTAACAACGCTGATAGGTAACACACTTTTTTTGCTGATATTCTGCATGTTGACCTACAATGCTGTACTTTCTCGATAAGTTTTGTACCTACACAGATTTAGTTTCAATCTAAAGGATATCCATAGAATAGGTAGATTTAGTATTCTATTCCCATACATGATCATTCATCTTTTCCGCGAATAAAGAGTTCATATATTATCTGGTGTCTCATGCATTCACTCCGAAGTTCCATTCATGAAACTTCACTTGACAATAAACTTACTTAACAGCTACATAATTTTTTCATGCTCTTGGCGATGAATCACATCTATTCAGTAAGTCCGATAATATTGCCTCCCTACTCTAGCTTCAATCTGTACTGACTTGCCTAAAATTCAAATACCTAAACCAGTGATTTATAACCCAACAAAAGGCGTATGTCTATTGACTCATGTGATAACTATGGTACATTGAGTAGTCTGTAAAAATGACCATTAACGTAGAATATAGATAGATAGATAGATAGATAGATAGATAGATAGATAGATAGATAGATAGATAGATAGATAGATAGATAGATAGATAGATAGATAGATAGATAGATAGATAGATAGATAGATAGATAGATAGATAGATAGATAGATAGATAGATAGATAGATAGATAGATAGATAGATAGATAGATAGATAGATAGATAGATAGATAGATAGATAGATAGATAGATAGATAGATAGATAGATAGATAGATAGATAGATAGATAGATAGATAGATAGATAGATAGATAGATAGATAGATAGATAGATAGATAGATAGATAGATAGATAGATAGATAGATAGATAGATAGATAGATAGATAGATAGATAGATAGATAGATAGATAGATAGATAGATAGATAGATAGATAGATAGATAGATAGATAGATAGATAGATAGATAGATAGATAGATAGATAGATAGATAGATAGATAGATAGATAGATAGATAGATAGATAGATAGATAGATAGATAGATAGATAGATAGATAGATAGATAGATAGATAGATAGATAGATAGATAGATAGGTAGGTAGGTAGGTAGATAGATAGTTTGCTTTCCAATAATTTGAATATATAACAGTACATGAAGTGTTTTACATAAGTCTGAAGTTCCTAGTTAAAGTTTATTTTGGACAGAGAACAGTATATTCTGCAGTTTCTTTTTGTCAGGGAAACCCACTTGAATGTTTTGTTTGTATTTTTCTTAGCGTATCAGCTGAAAGTAGGCCCACTAGCCCCACCGGTAAAACAGCCCCCATAGCTTCTCTATCTTCAATGCTCTCCGAACCTGATGACGTGTTCAATCGGCTTACCAGTGGAATGTCAAATTCGCCAAATCCTACCAGGTAAGTTCAAGGAACCTTGCAAAGATTTCTTTCATTTCCAGAAAAAAGCGTTTACTTGTAGATCATATTTTCAATTTACAAATCACACAGTTTTCTTAGGAAACCGAAATCATTCAAATCACAGTATGTAATCTCCTTATTACCATCAGTTGCAAATCACGTATTCGATTCAATGCATTACCAGTTCATCCTAGTAGCTAGCCAGAATTCAGGTGGTTTGAACTGATTCGCTTTCCTAAGCCGAGTCAAACCGGGCTCACTGATGATGAGTCCATTCCCAAATGAATGAGACGACCATTTAGTGTTGAGATCACTTCAGTCTGACTCACTAGTACTACTGTGGTGAAAGCTGTCTACTAGCCAAAATTGGTAGACAGCAATTTATGTCAATGTTTACTTCCCAAATCTTGGTCATGAGAAAAACAAGAACAAAGACTTTGCGTGGGCGGATACGATTTGCAGATATATGCTCTAACCTTCAAAGAAACGGCCACAAAGAGATGGCAGATTAGCTTTCGCCGAGAAAACAATCAATCAGAAGACCCTGTTTCTCTGCTAGTAATAACGAATAATAATGTACATAAAAATATGTAAATATCTCTTGATTTCCTCAATAAACGATCTGTTGCTTGGCCTTTGTATTCTGTCGTTACACTACTACTGGTTGATATCAGTGTGACCGACTGTTCACACCAATCAATCATTAGTATATAGCATCAGATGTTTACACACTTTAGTTCCAACCACTTTTAAGTGCTGCTTATCTCCAACACACTCTGTATTATTTTTTGTGGCTACTGTGACTATGATAAGCGACTCACTAAATGACATGTAGTTAGTATAAAATCTTTCATATGTAGCTTATAACCTGTTCATGTTTCAGCTTTTTCTCAATTCTACTTAGACTACAAATTTTTTAAATAGTCATTTCATAATTTTTCATATAATAACTAGATACTCACTTCTAGCATGGAAAATTCGATGACAGCAGGTAAAGAAAATATGCTGTATCTTTTACAAGTGAATCTAATAATAATATAACAATGAATGCACTAACAGTTAACGCTATTAAACTTCCAATGCGAGTACTTCTTATGTTATTATGTGTTATTATAACGTTGGACCTTACCAATGCTTAATTTAGCTCAAAATGAATAGTAACTTTGTCTGACATGAGAATATATACATTTCGTTTTGACTCACAATTTAATGTATTCTGTTGGAAAACTCAAGTTTTGTTTGTGTCTTTATTTCTGTTTAACGGAATTCCTTGTAATTGATAAATTTTAGTCTTTTGGGTGATAATACTTCGTCGTACTCCTTCAGAATGTCTTGTCTACTAACTATTTAAGTTTTCTGGATTCAACCTACTTTTTCAGTCCTTAATATATTATTGGTGATGGTATTTCTCCTCGATAAGTGAGTGGCATCCATCTACCCATAACAACCAACCAGTTGTATGCAACATCATGCATTCATACTTACCTTCTGATGTCTAGTATTAAGCAGATCACATATTGTGGTGATCTGACTAATTTTGCTTTCCTAAGGAAACTGTGTTGAAATTTCATCTCGAAGTGTATAAATTGCAAATCGCGAACTAAATTTAGTTGTCTTGTCTTTATTATTTTCTGACCCATATACCTAAGTTATCCTTACTGTTGCTTTTTCTGGCATTTTGGGCGATATCCTTACCTGCATTGCCAACACTTTTGAGTATATGGTTAGTAAAATATAAACCAGTTGCACAACTGAATGCTTTCTTCGTGTTTCTCATGGAGATGTTGAATTAAATTTACAATATACATAAATATATTTTAATCTTTTATTATTTATTATTTTATTCGCCTCGATTTTACCGATGAGCTTATATTCATACTGAATACACTTATTTGTGTAAAAAATTGTTTTGTGTGATGTTATTTGCTAATTACTCTGTGTTGTGTGGAGGTTTACCTCTGAAAATAATTATCATATAGTTTACATTACAATATACAATGCACTTTCAATTTATGCTACATGCTACGGAAATGGTGCAGCAGATTTGTCATCGTGAGGTAAATACTTGCAACATAACTACTAAATTAACTTCGTGGTTTTTTTTCCGCTTTTCTCATCTTATAGAGGTTCGATACGCCCCTTGACGAAATTGAATACTCCAAGCTTGATTTCCACTAATAATACAAATACGAATCTAATTTCGAATACCAATACATCAAATCAGTCTTACCATTTGTCTTCCTCATCGTTAAGTCAATGTTCAAACACTTTGACTGATTTTGGTAATAATTTGTCTTCCCAATCTATAAGTCAGCCGTTGGCTTCATTTTTCACATCATTTACTACTTCTCATGCAAACGGCAATACGTCTCAAATATCATCCAATATGAATACTACATCGTTATCAACAGCTCATTCATCTTCCCTCTTCCCTGCTCCTATCGAATGTACACATGTAGCTAAAGGACATTCAAATGCTGTCCTTGATGTTGATGTATTAAACAGCATTATGATAACCGGTAGTAAAGGTAATATAGCTTGGATATTTATTGTTAATTGGTTAGGAAAATGTCACACCCTCATATCTACTTTATGTACATTTTCCTATTGTATGGTTGGAGTCCAATGGTATTATTGAATAAACATGCATTCTATTTTTTCTTAGTTTATTGAACACAAATTTAATTATACTATTATTAAAATACATCTAGTTAAACATTGTTATCGAATATGTTTTTCTCTAATTACTCGTTTAACATTATTATTATCGTTAACTTTCTTCATTCTGATCAGCAACAAATCCTAGTTAATTAGCGAGTTTAACTTAGGCAGTAGATTAATACTTGCTTCCAAGTGTTTTTTTGCAGACGTTTGATCAAATTTAATTCCGATCACAAACTGATCTCAGTCAGAGGAACTCTAAAAATTAGGAAGTACTAGGCAGTTCTAGTCTGGGACTCTTCAGCAGTCCGTGCCCTTAATACACCAAACTTCAGGTTACGAAATGTAGTCAGTTCGTAAACAAACTTTAAGTTATTCAAATACCCGAGAGGTAACTCTTGAAAATAAATCTAGTGCTCACAAGTGACTGACTGCAGGATGAATTTCTATCGAAAAGTTTACGAGTGGAGCTCACCTAGTTGCGTGTAAAGCGGAAAACTCGCCGATTACATTTAAAGCTGTTTTTTTTTTAAAAATCCAAAGTTGTTTCAACTTTATTCAAGTTATTTTTTGTGTTTGTAATGATGGATTAAACAATTTCTAACATGCTGAGTAAGAAATCTACTATTCATCCGCTTTTTCTTTTACATAGTATGCAAATCTATCTCTCTCATTATTATTGCTCCCTTGGATTCCTAATGATTCCACGCCAGTTCTTGCAGAGTGAGGCGTAAGTCGCCCTTCTCTGGTAGTTTCACGAGGTAACCTTTCCTCCGGTCAGTTGGCACCTTTCCTTCCTCTCTGTCATGGCATGAATGAATTATTGAGATAATTATAAAGAAAAATATATCTAACCATACTGCAGTGTAATCATTATTTTCCCTCCATACCTGATATTGAAGTATGTTTGGTAAAAACAATTTATTCTAAGAAATTTTCAAATTCATTATATTTTTATGCATTTCATAGATCGTACTGCAAAAATTTGGGATTTAAATACAATGGAAGAAGTAGACACATTTCATGATCATCCTAATAATGTAACGAAAGTCAGAATGTGTCAAAGATCAAATCTTATTTTCACGGTTTGCTCGTATTTCATTAAAGTTTGGGATCGAAGAGATTCACGTAAATGTATTCGCACTTTACTGTACGTCAAATGTGTTAATGTTTTTTGATATCTTTACTTTTTTGCGTCAGAAATGTTTTACTGAATCAGGTGGAAATCTGATGCCTGTTCTCGTTTTGAACTATGGTAGACTTGGGCATGTTTTCAGTGCAGTCGGTTAACTAAATGCTTTAATGTCTTAAAATTATACCTAGTTTTCGTTACTTAAGATTAATGCTCTTTTTCATTCACCTTTCTGTTTTAGGTCAAGTGGGCTAAGTCAAGAAGGTTCTTTCGAAACAAAAGCCATGCGTCGTCAAAATATTTGTCCACCTGGTGAAACTAATATCATGGATATCACACTTGGCGGCCCTAGTACGTCATTAAGTCACCTAATGTTTTCAGCTACTGCAAATTCTGTGAAGTTATGGGATTTAAGACTTTCTCATTGTGTCGGCAAGCTACATGGTAGTCATCAAGCGCCTGTAATGGTGTTAGCTGCCGCTCAAAATTCACTTGTTTCTCCGACTGATATTTCGGAACCCAGGTTAACTGTGGTTACTGGTTCAAAAGTAAGTTGTTTTTACATCCATTCAAACAGTATTTTGAGCTTCAAACGAATGTCTTCTGGACAAAACTATTTTTCATTCAGGTAAGGTGTGTGGTTAACCTCGCCTGATCTACCAGCTAGAAGAAATCCTATAGTGTGATAATACAAATTGAAGGAATCTGTGGTTGTTGGTCTTCTTGTTTTATGGATAGCTGGAAATCATTGTTACATACTATTTTTATTTCCTAATGGTTATTTTTCATTTGTCTTTCTTTGAAAAGTAAAACACATTTAACATATATTATTCCTTTTCACCCTAGGATCATTACATAAAAGTTTTTGATGTGTCTTCAAATGCATCCGGTCTACTCACACCCATTTATGATTTAGAACCACCGCATTATGATGGGATCGAGTCTTTAGTAATCCATGAAAATATTTTGTTTTCTGGTTCCCGGGACGCTGCAATCAAAAAGTGGAATTTAGCCAAGCAAGGCCGCCAGGATGTATCACTAGCTCAAGCTCATAAAGACTGGGTACAGGTAAGTGTTTCTGTGATTTCTCTCTCTACTAATTAATTCCAAAAGCCTGATTTGTTGAATTAGCCTAGCACTGATACATTTTCTCTTGGTGTTTTAAACTATTTATTTATTTTAACGCCTTTTATTAATGTTTTGCCGCTTTGTTTCTTATCTTCTATACTGATTGTTTTACAGGGTATGGCTATTATAAAAGATGGGTCAAAGCTTATCAGTGGTTGTCGTGGCGGTACACTTAAAGTTTGGAATGTTGAAGATTGTACTTGTTTGGGAGAAGTCAGCAATGCACATGAAGGAGCTATTAATTGTGTACGAACATTTGAAAACCGTGTGTTCACAGCTGGCAAGTAAGTATATTCGTTCCAATTTGGTGTCGTTTTCTCCTTCCTGTTTTAAATGAGTGTTTATGATTTAAGGTTTCATTTTGTCTTTCTTTTTGTTTTTTAGTGACAAAGATATTCGATTTTGGAGATTTCTGACTTAATTTACAGATTGTATTATTACTAGTATTACTATATTCATGCATTTGCAATAAATACAAGAATAATGCTCCAAACAGATCATCTCTGCAATATAGTGACTACAATTCAATGTTATAATTTTTTAAATGTCTTGCCATTTTCTTGATTTCAATACATTTTTGGATACATTGATTTCTGTGATACTGAGTGTATATGGTACTTTCTTTGTTTTAGCTACTCTATCAGAAATTATTGCTTTCTTTATCCTGAATGATGTCTGAACTTCTAATAATCATTGTCATCAGTTGCAATACATTACCTATTCGTAAATAATTATTTGCATTTTTTATCCTATAATAATGAATAATTATCGCAATTTCTGAAGCATTTTGAAACCTAACGACTGAGTTTTCGCTTGATTTAATCCTAACTAAACACATGTATATATTCATATTTTCCTAACTCTTTTTACATCCTTTGCCACACACTAACAATAACGGTGGTAATATGAATAATAATAATATATAGTAAATGCATCTTCGGTGTAGAGTGTAGATCTTACTTTCAAGGTTTAGATTCACAAGTAGTTATCCACCCATTTTGAAGCTATCCATTGTACTCTATAACTGCTATTGTAATTCTCCTTATTTTCTTTTGACCGGAATTACACAAATATTTAATTTTCACTGGCTTTATCGTCATTATGCTAAAAATATAACTTCGGTTACTTGAATATTAAAGTGATGAACTTAAAGAGCACAAGTTTGCTTATCGTTAACATCATAAATGAATATCTTTACTTAATTACTACTGTGCATATTATTTCTTAGATCTAAATCTTTATTTTCCTTCTCTTGCTGTGTATGGTTCATTTAGCGGTTTTTTCTCTTCTCACTACATATGCATGCCTATTTCCTTGCTAAATCTCATATCATTTCATTCTTAACCTGTCCATACAATTCCGTGTGTGACATAATATATTCATCAATAAAGAAGTATCGCTATTATTTGTGTGAATTTGTTTATTTGTTTTTAGCGTATTTATTTATCGATACAAAAGTTCCAGTTATCTTTTCGATTCAAGTTTAAGGGTAAAATCTTCGCAGTCATAATGTCAATCACTATCCAACAACCTTTTACTACTTACTAATAAGAAGTAGTCTGATAAGTTAGGTTAATTTATTCATACTTATCTATCTGATATGTTGCTTTAACGAGAGAAATTATCTGGTCTCATTTGAAAAAAATGTGACAACATTATCCCAGACATTTTCTCTCAGTAATCCCTAATAGTAATATGGAATCGATAGATTGCGACAAGATTTTTAAGTAGTAACTTCACAAATTAATTCCATTGACTTTGTACTAACACCATAAGTAATTTTTGTAGACCGAGTTATGTGTTAAGATACTAAGTTTATAGTAACTATACAAATGATCGTCCCGAAAGTTACCACAGTCTTTGGGACTATTCACATTGCATTGAGATAAAGATGATTACCTGTTTCTGGTCGGCACTAGAATGAACATTGTCTCATTTGATGATCATCAAATGCTACTCAGTAGCTGCTAGTCAGCCACTAAGCAGACGACTGCTTATTCTAGAGTACTTACCGTGCATCATTTCATGCATCAGTGTGTCTACAATAAAATGGAGGCGAAAAAAGCATTTCTGAGTCTCTTATGTATCCACTTTCTCCATGAAAATGTCTGCTTAGGAACAGTTAATTATGTATTTTAGGACAGTAATGCTTATGATCCCCTTTAATCAAAACAGGGAAAAGTATATTAGTTGAAGTAATTTAATCAAACCTCATACAGCCGTATAATGATAATTATCTAACTTGAGGATAGCCTCTGGTGTCCATTAAGAATGCCTAATATTATGGCTCTTAGTTATTTTAGGCGACTGATGAATTTGACTTTTTAATTTCTGATTGAATTTTTGTACGCAAGTGGTATAATTCATATAGGTGGAGACTATGATGAGACACGGCTATCACCTACCCACCGTAGGTGAGTATTAGTAGCTATTTAGGATGAGGTTCGATCTCAATGAAATTCAAACGATGCTGTAGAAATAGTATGAATTGACAAAGGGCAAATCTCACTGTTTGAAACCATTGTCTATCTCACTTAACTGAGAAGTGATATTCCAGTTGCAAACCGAAAGGCTCTTTTTAATTTTAACGCGTGATATTGATATGTATCCACATGATTTGTGTGTTCTTTTTGACAGTATTATATTTTGCTGTGTGTATATGGATCGATATTCCATTATCACTGACAATATGCTTTTGTCTGTCCACTAACTAAATAAACATGTATGACTTTGTTGTCACATGACATTACAACCAATCATATTAAGACTGGCTAATTATTCGTTCATGTGTATAATTTTGTACTGGATTCTTGTTCATACATTTCGTACTTATTCACTCACACTCTTGTGTGACAATTATTTTCCTTGTCTGGAAAATGCAAGTATCATCGTAAAAATCATGGTCTTCTGATTTCCCTCCCTACGCGTCAGGACTATTAACTACTTGACGAGTACATCTCAGATATCTAGCTACTCATCAAAACATATGTGTCAATCACGTCTCAAAAGCCGTTAATGCCCAGCTCTTGCTACGCCGGGCCTCTCTCGCTGTCCCTCGAAGCCTTTCAGAAACGCTTAGTACTAACGGACGCAAAAACCAAAACACCGATTGACGACTCAAGAATTCTTTATTCTAACACCAACATATAACCAGCATAATAACTACGGTTTTTTACGTGCTTTCTGAACAGCGACTGATGAGATGATGACTAGTGTATTGATGCCTCCGCGGAAATGTAGGGAAGTTGGGTTTGAGCAAACAACCATGAATTGATCGTTCAATGTTCAACTACATTGACAGTATGCGTACTCAACAATTACCACCCCACTCATGTGTCCCTTTTGTTTGCTGAGAATCGTTTCCAACTCTCTCTAGAAGATAATCGATTCGGGAATTTATAATGTTTTGTAATCATCAAGTTGAAGACACTTAACTGAGTGTTTCTTTTCCCAGACAACAGAACCGTGAATAACAGTTTCACAGATTCATATGTAAAACACTTTCTCTTGTGAGATACCGTCTAACCTCTTTTTTGTCTCTATATTGCGGGTTATGTAAACTACGGGGTTTCGGCCATCCAACCGTTCCTCGTCAGTTTTGTGGTGGTAATATTCTTGAGATGGTTGTAAAAATTCGTGTCACTGATCGAATATGCGGACGATACTGTCTTGCTATACAATTACCTGTAACGTACTCGTAATCAGTCGGTGGTTGTCATCGATTTATATGGCACATCTTTTTCATCGCCAAAGTGTTGCGTAAATAACTGAAAGTAGCTTTTCTCCTCTATTTTAATGAGTGACAAATCTAATGTAAGTAGATTCTTGACAGTGCATCATATATGGGACTGGGGTTAAGACAGTTGGTTAGTATTAATGGCTTTCGGCTGATTATACAGGTCAGTATTATGTACGAACACACTTCTGTTGCCTATTTACAAATCCTTACCTTACTTATATTGGGCCTTCATTAACTGTGAACTCACTAATTTACGATGCTTTACGTACGTCTGATGTATATCCTACTGATCTTATGGGACACTTTGTGCTAAGTTCGAGACTAACGTCAAGAAGTAACATGAGAGTTATTTGTATTAACTGTGTGATATTAGTGGTCTGGCTATGCGGCTAAACGCATGTATGAACGACCAACCTACGAAACGTATTATTTGATGAAATAAATAAAAGTGAAACTTAGTTATATTTCGTATTTCCACAGGGGAAGGAAGACATCCATAGGTTGATTACTCATCGTTGTGAAACACTAAGGGATATTATTAGAATTCGAAATTTATCATTTTTAAATGTCTCTAACTACTTAATTTTTCTTTGTTTCGAAATCAATATAATGTCACACCTATTCAAGCACTTCATTTTAGTAAAAATAAACTTTTTTTCGTTGAATAATTGTTGATTTTTGATCTAGAGTTAATAATTCATAACAATCATTGCAACGCATTCTTGCGTCTCATATGTCAGTAGAGCTTATTACGTTATTATTACTGTACTAATCAAAACACATGGATATGAATTAGTAAAATAATCACATAACTAGAGATTAATTTTTGTAAGTTACTAAGACAATAGATGTCGTAATTATAAACAAAAGGTTTTGCGTGAAAATTCTTCAGAAGAGGTAAGAAATAAATATCAACAAATGTTGAGATATTGAGTTCTGCTTTATTAAATCATTTCGACACCTGGTCCTTTTCGTTATCCATTGCTTAATTGTATATATATATACCCGAATGAATGCATCAAGATGATCAAAATTTAGTGTTGTTCGAAAGTTCCATACAGATATTTCTTATATTCCGACGTTGTAGCATCTCGAACTGTGTGATTTACCTATGGCAAATTAAACTCTACGTATGTATTACCAGTTAGCTAGCCAGAATTTGTGTGGTTTAGACTGATTCGACTCTAAGCTGAAGTACACCACTTATGAGCTTGGCACTAAACGAGCGAGATGGCGGTCCTGTTTTCACATCACTTTTATTCTGCCTTATTTTAGTGGTTTAAAAGCTATTCATATCTATCCGTAGTGCATACCATTATTTGGTTGTTATGTTTATTTATTATTATCTATTTATTAATCAGAAGTTATGTATAAAGAGATTTGTTTTTCTCAGATTTACTGACATGCAATGTTTTCTGGATATATAAATTATCCTTCTTTTCTTTAGCTATTTATTTGTTCACCTGAATTCTTATTTTAAAACTTATTTACATATGTTGAATTACTTTCTCATTCTTGTTTGGCTGGTTTTTCTGTGTTGTTCATCTGTGTATACATGTGTAAATTACTGTTACCAACTTTTCTTAACTAATATGACTACTTCCCATGCCATTTCATGAAAACTTTTACCATTTTAAAATAAAACTTTTCATTATGTTAAACGGATGTACTGAAGTCAATAT